AACGTGAGTAAATTTAATATTTTCCCGCCGGGTTACTGTCGCACTCGTTTCAATTTTTTCCGGTTGTTTACGCTTTCAGATATTTGTTTACAAACATCGCATACACTTCGACTCAACCTTTTTTTCTCTGACAAGGATAATAGTGCCAAAATTGTCGTTTTTTCGAATTCAAGAATAGCTCAAAACGTGACTACTCAAAATCGAGGATTTGGGGTAAGGCTTCTATTTCGGTCGGTTCGGTCGGTATTTCGGCCGACCGACCACCGATCCAACCGACCGACAGCCGACCGAGCTGACCGATCGGTTGGCGCGCCAACCGATTTCGTGCCTTTGCGCATCAAAATACGAATTTTTGCGTACGAAGCACTTTATTTTACGACAAACGAGGCTTTTAGTGTGTAGTAGTTTGTCGTAAAATACAATGCAGCGTATGCAAACACGTTGACGCGCAAATGCACGAAAACGGTTGGCGCTCCGACCGATCGGTCAACTCGGTCGGCTGTCGGTCGGCGGGGTCGGTGGTCGGTCGGTCGGCTAAATTTCCCGACCGAATGGAAACCTTAATTTTAAGAGCCCAAAATTAGCCAAATCCGTCAAAAAATGAGCTGAAAATCACCTAGAATATCGATGATTTTTGAGCTCAAAAACCACCCAAAAAAGTCCAAAATTTCAAAAATGCTCACTTCTTTGCAAACGTATTCGTTCCACAATTGAACGATTCGACGACTGAATTGTAGTCGTGTCCAGTTTCCCATTTGATGATGTGCAAGTCGCGAACACCGTCCCATCTGAAAATAGACGAATTCTAGGGAAGAAAATGATTGGAAATTGGCTGAAAATAACGATTTTTCAGACAAAAGTACGTCTGAAAATCGAGTTTTAGACACCAAAAATCAGTAAAAATGATCGAAAATATTCGAATTTGACAGCTTAAAATTCATAGAGAAGTCTAGAAACTTGATTTCAGACGTATATTTTTCGGCTGGAAATGTCGGCTGGAGAAGCTTCTGGAAGCTTTAGAAAACGTCAGTAGGGCTCGGAAGACGTAAAAATCCAACTTCAAAACACGCCTAATACTTTCCAGAAGCTAGTTGAACGGTTCTGCTTAACAGAAGACGTCAAAATGCATAACGGCGCTTGTAGAAGTCTCCAGATGGGTTTGAACTGCTCTACAGCCTTCTGGAAGCTACAGACGACGTCAAATCTCTTCAGAAGACGTCTGACGGCTTTATAAGGCTTCAGAAGCTTCTAGAAGATGTTCAAATGCATCTCGACGATTCTAGAAGCTTGCAGCTGGGTTTGTACTGCTCTAGAGACTATTGGAACCTTCAGGTGACGTTCTTTAGATGCCTCCGTATCATTTTGATATGGTTCCAGAGGCTTCCAGAAGCTTCTGGAATCTCGGAAGACGTTAAAATCCATTTGTAGAAGTGCAAAAGATGCTAGGCGGCTCTAGAAGGCTCTCAAGCATTCAGAAGACGTCGAAATGGAGATGGAATGCTCTAGAGCGCTCTGGGAGCTTCTGAATGCTCCAAATCCTCGCCACTCACTTATCATTGCCCTCCTTATCCTTTCCATTGTGTCCCAATCCAGATAGAATGGATGCTCCCTCAGTGATAAGCCACATCGCACAGTACTTGTACATTGTCAGTCGGAACCACAGAGTGACCCACGACCATCTCCAGAAGAATGATAGTCCATAGAATGCATCCGAATTGAACCATTTGTCCGGAATCCAGAATTGTCCCCATTGGTGGAGGACCATGTAGGTGCAGCCGGCAAGGAAACGGCCGATCGAGGGCATGAATCTGAAGGAAAAGGCGATTTCAAGGCCAAAAATGGGTCCGAAATCGTCAAATTTCGGTTTTGGAACGGTCAAAAAGTGGTCATTTCGCAACTAGACGTTCTGAAACTGCTCATATTTTCAGATCAACGCTTTTTTCTCTTGAAAATGGTCCAAAACCCTCTTCAGAACGTTCCGAAAGCGGTCATTTCGCAATCAGACGTTCTGAAGCGGTTCCAAAACGTCTCATGACAGTTCTAGAACGTCCTGGGTTCTAAAACGTCGCAATTCTGGAAATTCCCTATAAAAATCTTCAAAACTAACGCAGATTTGGGTGGTTTTCCCTCCGAATCCAACCAATCACCATTGACAAACGAGCGGAATTTCGATAGAGTGAATTGGGGTCCAACCAGCGTTCCCTGCAAAGGAAAATTTAATTTTTTCGGGTTTCTAGAAGATTCTAAAGGATTCTGGAGCGTTTAGAAGACGTCACAAGTTCCAAAAATTTCTAAATAGGTCTAGAGACTTCTAGAAGATTCTGGAGCGTTTAGAAGACGTCAAAATGCATCTAGAACATTCTATAGCCTCTAGAAGATATCTAATGTTCTAGAAAGTTCTAGAAGCGTCTAGATGACGTCAAAATGCATCTAAAGACGTCTAAACGCTGCCGGAAGGTTCTAGGAGACGTCAGAATCTTCAGGAAGCGTCTGAATGGTTCTAGAGACATCTAGAAGATTCCGGAAGCTCTTAGAAGATGAAAATGCAGAACGACGGTTGTAGAAGCCTCCAGATGGGTTTGAACTGCTCTAGAGCCTTCTGGGAGCTTCAGACAAAAGCAAATATCTCCAGAAGACGTCTGACGGCTATATAAGGCTTCAGAAGCTTCCAGAAGACGTCAACATGCGCCTGGACGGTTCTGGAAGTTTCTAGATGGGTTTTGATTGTTCCAGAGCCTTCTGGGACATTCAGACGACGTCAAATCTCTTCAGAAGATGTCTGACGGCTATATAAAGCTTCAGAAGCTTCCAGAAGACGTCAACATGCGCCTGGACGGTTCTGGAAGTTTCTAGAGTCTTCTGAAGCTCTCAAAAGACATCGAACTGTTCCAGAAGCTACCTGGAAGAATAATCCAAACGCGGCGATTTCCATCAAACTTGGCTTATCAGTGATAGCCGTCAGCTTTTGATCGGGTTTCAGTGATTCGGGCTTCTGCGCTCCATCGTAAATGTCCATGACGAGACCAATGAATCTGAAAAAAATAAACGGGAATTTCTAGTCATTTTTTGACGATTTTAAGCTATTTTAAGATATTTTTTTAGTGAAAAAATAGAAAAAAGTTTGTTTTGGAATCATTTTGAGCCGTTTTTAGGCTAATTTTGAGGCATTTCAAAGCTGTTTTAAGGGCATTTTCAGCCAAAATTTCTAGATTTTTGAGCTTTTTCTTGATTCATTCTTAGTCTAATTTTGGCCAATTTTTAGTGATTTTACGCCCTTTTCAGCCTAATTTCGAATTTTGACTATTTTTCGCTCATTTAGGACCAAATTCTAATGATTTCAACTTATTTTCAGCTATTTTCAGACGATTTTAGACCATTTTAAGCCTAAATCTGACTTCTTAGGACCATTCATTACCAACTTTCAATAATTTTAGGCAATTTAAAGCTATTTTTCAGCTATTTTCAGCCACTTTACGACCATTTATAAGCAAATATCTGTATTTTAAGGACTTTTTTCCAGTGAAAGAATCCAGATAGATTCGAAAATGGCGACATTTTTTTGAGCCGTTTCTAGTGGAATTTTAGCCGCTTTAAAAGTTTTTTAAAGCCATTTTTGGGCTGTTTAGGACAAAAAATTCAAGAATTTTGGTCAATTTTCAGCCACTTTTTGATTATTTTTAGCCTAATTTTAGTCAATTTTCAGCTATTTTTGAGCATTTCCAGGTCATTTTCAGCAATTTAAAAACGATTTTCAGCGATTTTGAGCCATTTTTTGACCAATTTTGTCTAAATTTGACTAATTTTAAGCTATTTTTGAGCTACTTTTAAGGTCATTTTTTGTTAAATGTTGACCATTTTGGAGCATTTTCAGCAGCTTTCCAGCCCCTATTCTCCCCTACCTAAGAGTCATAATGCAGAAAGGCGTGGTCCATGTAATATCATAGGTATCCGTCTCGTGATGCCAATATCCAAATAATAAATGTCCCAAGAAGAGACCATGTGCCGCGTAGACTGATGCATCGGTTCCTCGCATATAATTCGTAATGATCCATGCGCCGAAAATCGATAAAATCGGATGAATCACCGCCGTGCCGCAGTTGAAGTACCAGATGGAGAGACCGACGAGAATGAAGAAGATCTGTTGGATTTGCGCAGACTTATTGTAGAAGAAGGTGCGATGGACCACAGCGAGAGGGTACCCTGGAAATTGGGGGAAAAATTGAAGCAAAAAAAAATAAAATAATTTTTTTTTGGAAATTTTCACATTTTGAAAAAAATCGGAAATTTGAATTTTTTTTCAAAAGTTTGGGTCTAAAGTGTCTCAAAATAGCCAGAAATCTACATTTTTCGAAATTTAAAAAAAAATAATTTTTTTTATTTCTTGAAAAATCTCCCAAAACATTCAAGGAATTCGAGAATTTTGAAAAAAATTATTAAAAAAATTTTTTTCAAAAATTTCGAAAAAAATTTTTTTTCCATTTTTTCCTGAAAAATCTCTCAAAACAGCTGAAAGATCGCATTTTCAGGATTTTTGGGTCTGAAATTTCGAATTTTCAGCGTTTTTGGACCATAAATTGGCAAAAATTTCCAATTTTTGAGCAAAATTTTTTTGAAAAATTTTCAATTTTTCTAAATTTTTGTGTACCGTACCAGCTAGAACAGAGAGAAGAAGTCGAAGAGCATCCTCACTGGCACTTGTCACTTCGGAAAGTGCACCAATTACACCCATTGTTTGAGTTTTAGGTCCCTGAAATTTTGGGTTTTTGAAAAATAAATAGTTTCAAATTTCGAGCGGAAATGAGATTTAAAAAAGCGATATTCATGATTTTTCAGTGCTGAAATCCGTCAAAAACGAGCTGAAATTTACAAAAATACAGAAAACGCACTGAAAACGAAATTTCACTAAATTTTCGAGAGATTTCTCTGAAAATAGCGAGAATTTTATGTTTTTTTTGTCTGTTCTTTGTCATTTAATGCACCAAAAACCAGCGAGAACCGAGCAAAAATCCATGGAAAACAGTCAACAAATCGAGCAAAATTTTGCGCGTAAGGTATGATGCATCTTCGGGAAATCTGGATTCTAGGGGTGTGCGATGCGAAAATTGTATATTTTTGTATTAAAATTAATAAAGAATCAATTTCACTCTTGAAATTACCGAAACACCGGGAATTTAAGGTGAAAATAGAGGGGATAACGATGAATAAATGTGCTCCAGAGACATTGCGCGTCAAATCTGACACATTAGAATGAGGTGGTGTTTGCGGAAAATTGCGTACTTTTCGGAGAAAGCTTCCGCCCGTTTAGTTCATTGAGAATTGGGGATTTTTAAGAGATTTTCGGGTCAAAAAAGTGAAAAAATATTAAAAATGTAGGAGAAAATTAATTTTGCAGAGAAAATCTCAGCAAAAAACTATCAAAAAAGCGGTGAAAACTCAAAAAATGAGTGGAAACCCACAAAATTTTTTAATTGCTTTAGAATTGAAATTTTGGCGGTTTTCGCCTCAAAAAATGGGAAAATAGATCAAAAATCTCGAAAAACTTGATTTTCAGACCTATAAATTTCCAAAAAATTTCAGAAAAATCCGATTCTTAAAATTCAAATTTTCCATTCAAAAACTTCAAAAAAAAAAGATTTTTCATCTAAAAATCCCAAAAAAGACAGAACAAAGTACAAATTTTTATCATATCACTGTTCAGCGCATTCTTATCATTCATCTTTTATCACTTTTTCTTGAGAGACGCAGGCAGAAGTCGGCAAAAAATGGTCTGATCATGGGAGAACTTTTTTCTCCTTTTGTAGGGGAAAACCAATTTAAATTGGCCTAGAATTTTCATGTAATTTTTTTCTAGGCCAGAAAAAAAAAGAGTACTGTAGAAATGGAAGTTTCTTGGTGACACAAATAGAGATAATGATAAGAAAATTATCTCTCGGAGGATACAAAAATCAGGTACAAAGTGTATCGGAAAGAAAATTGTACTTTTAATCGAATTTTTTGCAGAAAAATATTGTCCTCAAAAAAAAATCACAGAGAAAAGGAAGAAAATACAGTAAAACCTGTAATAGAAAGGCCCTTAACCTTTGAGCCAATTTTTCTCGGTACCTGTGAAAGATATCAAAAAGTTGTCAACTGCTAAATTGCTTCTCATGATATCAGCAGCGTTTTATCAGTTGTCACATTTTTGATATCTCTTATGGGAACCGAGATATATCGGTTCAAAGTTCAGCAATCGTCAGCCGACAGGGGGGCTCACGCGGTGAGCAAGTTTGATTCAATTTATCTCGGTTCCTGTAAAAGATATCAAAAAGTTGTCAACTGATAAAATGCTGATCATCTTATCAGTAGTCTTTTATTAGTTGACAACTTTTTGATATGTCTCACTGTAACCGAGATAAATTGGGTCAAAATTGCTCGCCGCCTAAGCGATCTCTGAACTTTGAACCGATATATCTCGGCTCCCATGAGAGATATCAAAAATGTATCAACTGATAAAACGCTGCTGATATCATGAGAAGCAATTTATCAGTTGACACATTTTTTATATCTTTCACAGGAGCCGAGATAATTGAGCTCAAACTTGACACTGTGTGAGAACCCTTCCATTTCAGGTTTTACGGTAAGTGACAAAATATGAAAGAACATTGGAAAAATACTTCAAAATACTTTATTCTATACTATAAATACCATAAAACCGAGTTCTCAAACTTGCTTAGGTTCAGTTGGAGCTGAAGCCGGAGCAATCGGAATCTCAACCTTGACTTCCTTCATCTCCTCATCATCACACATCGTCATTCCATCATCACAAATTGTCATTCCCTCCTCCGCCACCGCCTTCTTCTTCTTCTTGTTCTTCTTCTTCTTTGGCATCGTCTCTCCGTCTTGCGTCCGTTCCATCTCTAGACCCTTCGGTATCGGCCTCTTCTTCTTAAAGAATCCGAATCCCATGCCATGTGGATATCGATCATCCGTAGCCCTTCTTGCCGCTTCCGCCGCGTCCCTTAGTTTCTTTCTCGCCTCAGACTCCCCGACTCGATCTTTTGCCAGCGTACTTGGATCTCTAGTAGGTGCACAGAGATTTTCCGTTTTCAGGACCATTTCTGCTGTTAGTGCTGGTGGCGAGTTAGCCGCAGGCTCTGAAACTGAACATTTTAAGAATTTTAATTTAAAGGCGCATAGCTGGTCCCGAAGCTGAAACAGCTACGGTTTCTACAAATGAATTCGTGCGACTTTAAACACAGCAATTTGGAATTATTCCATTTCGACCAATTTTAGGCTGTATAAGAGAATTCGGAAATGGGCAAAAATATAATGATTCCGAATTACTGTAGCTGATTTTGCTTCAGGGCCAGCTATGCGCCTTTAAATAGACATTCGGCAAGAAGGTTCATCGGATAACAATATTATCTTTAGGTTCTTACCGTTAGCTTCGGGGCCTGTTGCAATCTCGTTGGCATTTACAGTAGGCGCTGTTGCAGCAGGAGCTTGCTGAGTTTCTTGAGTGTCCTGAGTTTCCTGAGTTTTCTGAATGTCCTGAGTTTCCTGAGTTTTCGAGGCATTCGGAGCAATCGGAGCTTGCTGAGCTTCCGAGGCTTTCGGGACTTTCGGAGCTTCCGAGGCTTTCGGGACTTTCGGAGCTTCCGAGGGTTTCGGAGCTTTCGGAACCTTTTTCGTAACCTCGATACTTTCAATTCTCAAAAGTCCCTGTTTCATCTTCTGCTCATCGTTTATACTATTCTTATAATTCGCATCCAATCGTTCGGAAGAGGCAAAGAGCTCGTCGATATCTTTACTCATCTTTATGATCTCTTCGTTTGGCACTTCTTGATGTTTGCTAATACTCTTAAAAATCGATAATCGATTATAAGCTACAAATGCGCAACACTAACCGCAATTACATCCTTGATAATGAGAAGCAGAGCCAACAAGTACTGTCTGGCACTCTCAATTGCATTTATGCGGAAGTTTCTGACTTCATTCAGCAACGATCCCATTGTGACCTTTCCGTGCTTCTCCATAATCTCCTGACGATTGTATAGAGCCACTGAAAATCAAAATAACAGGGGATTACGGTAGAAATTACTGTAGTACTTTCAAAGCCGGCGCGCCTCACCCCTTGGCGCACGGTGTTGAGGTGCGCTGTCTTTAAAAGCGCATAACTCAACAACTACAGTAGCTAAGAAAAAGTTAGCAATTAATAAGCTGTGCAAAATTAAATTCTACACATTTTTGTAGTTTGCAACTTTTTGATATCTACCGTAGTTTTTGAGTTACAGTATTTCCTCTAACAGAAGCCCATGGGCTTCTATTTTTCAACCTCTTTCTCAGGGTCGGCTTCTATTAGAGGGAATACGGTAGCTAGACTTACAAGCTAAAACAGCCGAGTATCCAGTTCCAGTGGGACAAGCAATGAAGACAGGTGTCTTACTGGCATGGACAATGTCGATAAGTTCAACTAGTCCATTGAACGATTTGAGTGTTGGAAACTTGTCATCTGGACAATCCTCGAAGACGATCATTTGGGTAGTGAATGCTCGCATTCCTCTGAAAAAGTGTATTGTGACCAGGGGAGTTGGGGGGGGGGGGGGGGGGGGACACTAGAAATGTTTTTGAATCGAAAAATATCGTCAACATCCTAATAAAACGCCCTTTGAGTTGATTTATCTCGGTTCTTGTTAAAGATATCAAAAAGGGGTCAACTATTAAAATGTTTAAAATTTAAAGAAAAACATTTTATCAGTTGACAACTTTTTTTTAATCTTTGACAGGAAGCGAGATAACTCAGTTCAAAGTTAGAGGGTCTTTCATCTATTCTTTGACTATAAACTCCATTTAAGGTACATTAAAGGTTAAACACTCGAATAGAATGACCTCCTAACTTTGAGCCAATTTTTCTCACTTCATGTAAAATATATTAAAAATCTGTCAACCAGCAAAATGTTACTGATATTATTATAAGCATTTTATAAGTTAACCACTTTTTGATATCTTTTACAGGAACCGAGATAAATTGGCTCAAAGTTGACAAGTCGGCGCAAGCCGTCAGAGCGGCTGCCGACCCTTAAAGGTGGGGGGACATGAAAAAAATAATGTTCTCGAAATTCCGTTCAAAGATGCCCCTCGAGGAGTTGAACTTGTGAGGGCGATGATTGAGGGTGCGGCGCCGCTACCGACTGAGCCACGCGGGCAAAGAGAAAGCGCACGCCCGATTGCATACATAAAGGCGAGGACGACATCTGTACGCAGAGTGACATTAAGCGTTGTACACCGTGACGGTAGAATGCATACCCTAGCTACAAAAAACTACGAAAAATCTCCTGTCCCCCCACCTTTAAAGGAGGCCAGACACCAAAAAAAAGTTGTCCTGATGTTTTGCATAGAGAACCCCCATGAGGGGTTGAACTCATGACAGGCAGCTCAGGGGTACAGCGCGGCTACCGGCTGATCTACGGGAGCGCGAAGGCGCCTGACGACCGATGGTCTATTAGGTTGGCGGGAAAGTCTTTGTCACTTTTTCAATAGTTTATTTCTCAAAGAAAAAATAACCGAATAATTAATTATATTGTCCATCATTATCAACAACATGTCTCCAACGTTCCCTCAATTTATGGATTCCATTGCGGTAGAATCCAGCCGGGCGTGAGGCAAAGTATTGTTTGAGTGCCGCTTCGACCGCTCCACGGGAATTGAAGCTTCTTCCTTCGAAGGCACGTGTCATATCGCCAAATAACCAATAGTCGGAAGGAGCAAGATCAGGAGAATACGGGGGGGAGGGAGAACATTCCATCCATATCCCATCAGCTCCTGCTTCACTTGTTTCGAAACATGTGGGCGAGCGTTATCATGTTGATAGTACACTTTCTTGTCTTTCAGGGCCGAACGGTCGACTGCTTTCTTGAGGTTTCGTAGTTGAGTAGTGTAGAGGTCTCCAGTTATTGTTTTGCCCTCGGGCAGAAGTTCCCAGTAGATGGGGCCGTCCACTCCCCACCACACAGAGAGCATAACTTTTTTCGGATGAAGGTCGGGTTTTGGGACATCCTGTGGGCTCTCTCCTTCTCCAACCCACTGGGATTTCCTGTGGTGATTATCGTAGAAGACCCACTTCTCATCTCCGGTTATTAGCCGGTCCAGCCATCGATCGCCCGCGTGGAGAGTGAGAAGAGTAATCGAATCGTCGACTCGGCGGTCAAGGTTGGCTTGAGTCAGGTGATGAGGTATGAATCGACCAAAAAGTTTTCTCATTCCAAGAGACTTCAAACCTTCAAGGACTGTGCTATGGTGAACTCCGAATGTGACAGCTAGTTCACGGCTAGATTGAAATATATCCGATTGCAATGCGTGCTTCAGCTTGTCCAAATCCAACTCACGGGGTCTCCCAGAGCGATCCTTTTCATCGAGCGAGAAGTCATCTTTTTCGAAACGATGGAACCAATTGCGAATAGTATTGTAGTGAGGGGCATGTGTGTTGTACACATTCTTCAAGAAAGTTTCCGAATCCTTCATCGTGTTGTGAGCTAGGAAGAGGTAAATCAAAACATGTCTGATGTGAATAGCAGTGGGAACAAACATATCGTTTCAATTACAGATGAGGAGCAGGGAAGGAAATGGGGACTTGTTTATATGGAAGGTTCTTATCACCTTGTTATTCACTAGAGTCGATTCATACACAGCCTCCATATACGAGAACAGTGATTAAACAAACAGAGTGACAAAGACTTTCCCGCCAACCTAATACATAAGCGCGGCGCGATTTCGTCACCCGAACTGTCCCCCCGAAATTTTTGCTGTCTCGCCTTCTTTAATAAAACTCACTTTATTTTGACACGCAACGTCAACATATCCATCGTTCCACTACAGATCTGCTCCACACTCATGCACTTCACCTTGACCTTTCCTCCATTGTACGTCTCCTCGGCTTCAACTTTCCGTGGGAAATACGGTTGAACATGTGGGTTTTCTCCTGGAATTTAAAAGAATTCTGAAAATCTTTATCTCACCAAAATCTAACCAGAAATTTTGCCAATACAGACGCACAACGCTCTCTTCTCAGCAACCGCCAACCAATAGGGTCCTCTCGTGTCCATTCCACCTCCGTGGTTCGCGCGTGGTGTTTTACACAAGGCAACCAGGAAACCGTCTCTGAACTCGATCATGTTTCCGTGGTAGTGATCCAAGTTGAACAGCTTCTTCAACTTCAGAACAATTCTGTTCGTTTCGTTGAGTCGACCGGTGTTCCTGAAAATGAAAATATAACGTAAACAACCGTTAACTTTGAACCTCTATATCTCCTTTCCTGATAAAATGTTTATCATAATATCAGTAACATTTTATTAGTTGACTACTTTTTGTTATCTTTTACAATAACCAAGATAAATAAGCTTAAAGTTGAGAAGTTGACAGCCGACCGCGTGGCTCAGAAGGGCGAGCAACTTTGACCCAATTTATCTCGGATACGGTAGGAGATATTAAAAAGTTGTTCACTAAAAACATGTTTAGATTAATATGAGTAACACTTCATCAGTTGACCACTTTTTGATATCTGCCACAGAAAATAAGATATACGGGCTCAAAGCTGAAGGTTGAATGAATTCAGCTAAGCTACGGTAGGACAGCTAAATTCAATCAAAGATAATATTCCTCTTACTTGTCATAGTCGAATTCGGGTGTCACCGTTCCGGCGTTTTCTTCCTCGTTCTCTTTCGAGTCATGCTCATAGAGTTCCATACAGTAGCGTGCATAAAGAAATGAGTCCGAATACTGCATTCCCAACATCCTGTAATGCAGAGCGGTGAGCTTGAAGCGGATAATGGCCAAAAATCGGAAACCGAATGAAAACGGAAGATCAAAATGAGCTGAAAAAGTGTATTTTAAGTTCCTCAACTTCCAGGAAAAAGACTCACCTCGTTTGTTCTTAAAATAACGAAGTGCAAGGAAAAATCCAGCACCAGTCAAGCCAACGACAACTGCTCCAGCCAGTGCAGCACCCAAATAACTGAAAATTCAAAATTCGAAGGGTTGAAAAAAGAATAACTCACATCGATAACCCATTTTGTTCCTTAACAACTACTGGATGAGCCAAGCTGGAATTGTGAGGAGCTGTCAAGTTTTGAGCAGGCGGAGCCATTGCCGAAGAAAAGTTGGCAAAAAACAATTCCATTTTGCTCAGTGAATCTGCGGATTTTCCAATGTCTGACTGGTGGCTATCATAGTCCAGACCCATAGAATCCAGCGAATCGAGTTTTGTTTTGAATTCCAAAAGTTCCGACTTCTTGGAAGACGTCTTCGACATCTTCTCAACTGATCTACCAATCGCTCCAAAATCCAAAGAGAGTCCATTGATCGATTCCGCAAGAGTGAAATTCAGGGAAGTGAGATTCGTCGAGTTCGAAACTTTGGCAGAAGATTTGATCCTGTCAACATCTCGATAGAAATCGGTCAGTTTTGCATCCAATCCATCTAGATTATTCAGATTTTTGTCATCTTCTGAATCCAGATTCCAACTCAAACTTGCATTTTCATTCAACACAAAATCAATATCCGTCTTGTCCAGATTCAGTTTTCTATCGGAAGCCAACTTCATACTTTTGAAGACACGCGTTGATGATCCCAGAATGAACGAATGTTTCTGAACATTCGGAAGCTTCATCAGTTCCGTGTTTTCCTTTGATTCTGACGGCTTGAAACCACTGACAAACGCTTTCAGATCTTTCATTTTTTTCTGAATTTCGGGAATTCTGTCAGTCACTTCTTTGAATGCGCCAAAGTTTGGTTGAAAATTCCTGAGCATTTGGATAGTGGAGATTGCTGGCTTCAGAAGTTTGACTCCTTTACGACCTCTCAACTCCTTCATCTTTTCGAAGAACTTGGACAGACCAGTAGTGAATTCGTCGATTTCGGGAAAACCAGTTTCAATATCCGCCAAAAGCTGATCGATGTTGGCCGCATTTTTGAGAATGGCTATGGATGGATTGGCAGTCTTGATAAGTTCGCGTATGTCCTTTGCTTCCTGGCTTTTCTTCAGTTGGTCACGTCGTTTGGTGCTATCAGTCTTTGCGGTGAACTCTGTGATTTCCAGTGTTTTGTTGATCTTGCCCAGATATTCTTCGGAGGCCAGAGTCTCATAGATTTTAAACACGTCATCGAGAGCATTCAGTATGTCGGATAGCGTCTTGATTTTGGAGAAGAACTCATCAAACTTAGTGTTTTTCGCTTCCATATCATTAGCCAATGTCTCGAGAACAATATCTGAAGCGTGAGCTACGAAATCCACGAAAAAGCCAGAGAACTCCGACAAGCTCGTTGCATGTTCGAATACGTTAGAAATAATGGTTTGAACTCCAGAAGCGAATCGACTCGAATCAGACACTTCTCCAGTTATCTTGATCAGAGATCGAATGGAATCGAGAACCTTGACGAGTGCATCCGATTGTCCCTCCACCACTTCTTTCACCCAATCATCCTTCAAATCAGAGAACACCAGGTCGAGGTCATTGAAACCATTTGAGAAGCCAGGAGTTTCAGACAGTTTTCGACTCAAACGAACACGTTGACGTGACTTCAGAAGGATTTGATCCAAGACTCGGAATGCAGCGAGATTCTTCTTGGAGTTTCCTGCTATCGAATCGATAGCCGTCAAGTATTCCTTAATTGTTTCCGTAGGTGGCTGGTCTTTGACACTGCGATATTCAGAAACGGCCCGATCGTTCAAGAACGCGGCAATGGCCTTCTGAATTCCAAAGTTAGGTTTGAAGATCTGATCCGGATGTTTGAGTTTCTTATAATCGACAAATGTCGTGAAATCACTCAAATTTACTCCCTTTATATTTTTTAAAGTGGAGCTCATGGATTGCATATTGTCAAAAATGTCATTAGAAACATTTTGAGTTTCCACCATCTCGAAAATTTCAAGGAATCTTTTTAAGTAGGACCAGTCTTCGAAAACAATGTTCTTCGCTTTCAAAGCTTTGACATCATTCAAATAGTCATCTTTCCCTTCAATTTTGACATCATTGCCGATTCCCTCTGTCTCCTCCAACATCAATGCATACATCAGGAATCGCTTTTCAATTCGTTCAGCTTCTTTGAAACCATTTTTGAGCAGATTTGGAAGTTCTTCCATTTCGGTGACCAATGTCTGAAGTTCCTCAGCGTTGATCTTGTTGATGTCATCTGGAGAAACAGAATCTAAGTTGAGAAGTTCCGAAATGAGAGTATCGATTGGGATGGAGTGACTGGTGAGACCTTGTTGGAGAGCAATTCCATTGGTGACACGGGAGATTTTCTCCATTCGGTCCACCATGGTTTCGAAGGGATCTGCAAAGAAAGATAGGTTAGAAAGCGATTGAGTGTTTTCTATAGCCATTATTAGACAGGCTACAGTAATCCTAACTTTGTCAATTTAAATAGTGAACTCAAAAACCACAGTAATCCTTATCTTCTCAATTTTGAAAAGTGAATCCGACTATTGAATATAAATTGAATACTTTTAAAAATTAATCCGAAAACTGTAATCCTAATTTTTCAATTTAAATAGTGATCTGGAAAACTACAGTAACCCTTATCTTTTCAATTTTAAGAAGTGAATCCGACTATTCAACTTTTACTCACCATTAGGAGCCCGACGAATACGGCGGTGGTCAATGTGGGAATGGGCGGAGTCATTGGAATGAGCAGAATCGTGATGGGACGTGTCAGAGGAATGGATATCGGATGGAGAGTGGGCGGAGTCAGATGAATCGTAGTTGGTTGACACATCTGAAAATCAATCGATATTTTTAAACAGCCACTGAAAATCCAACAAACCATGAGTGCCACGTGGATGAGAATCTGGATCCGGGGACCAGCCTTCTTGAGTGTGGGTGGGAGATTTGTCTGAAATAACAATCGATAATTGATTGGATGAGATTTCCTGGATGCTTACAGCGTTGATGGCTAGAAAGAATCGGTCGTTGGTAGATGCCTGGGAAGGATCCGTTGACGAGCACGACTATCGATAACCCGATTAGGGGAACTGCAAGAAATTAGAATATTGATTGACTAGACAATTTGGCTAGATAAGCCGAAAAAGCCCGCAAACAAACTTACTTATAGAATGACTTTTGGTCATATCTAAATTTTGACAACTCGATTATTGTCTATAGTTGATATCAATCGATAGATATATCGGACTGATGTGGGAATCTTAGAGCTAAGAGAGAGGGGGGGGAGGGGGTGTGTCATCTATGCTAGTGGGACAGTGGGGTGCCAGATTTTCAAGTTTTCGCGAGGATAATTTACGTTAAATTTCAGAAAAAAGAGTCTTTCAAATAGCTCTACACAGAAAAAAATCAATTTAAAAAAATCTAAAACTCACTCAATCTGTTCAGCATCCTTTTTTGATAGTGGAAAACCCACAAAAAACCTCTAGATACCAATTTGATGTGGCATGTGACACGTGGCAACACACTGAAAACGTTAAAACGAGAATCACGTGAATTTTCCTTTTGTTTCAAAGTTTTCACCTAATTTTCTCGATTTTTCTCAGTTTCTAGAATGGCCTCAACCTGCGAAAGTTAGGCCACCGTGTTAAAATGGCTTAAAAGTGGTGGCCTAACTTTCGCAGGTTGAGTTCTCTAGGCCACCAACCCTTTTGGACCTGGAAATGACTTGATATTCATTTGGTATGATTTCTAGGCTATTTTGAAGGGGTGGCCTAACTTTCGCAAGTTGAGTTCTCTAAGAAAACGATTTGGAGATATTTTTGGAAAATTTTCGTAGTGCAAAATTTCCGGCGACTCCGTTTTTTGGGTCAAATTCTTGATCTTCGAGCATTTTGGGACTAGAAACTGAGCTTTTCAAGTATAATACTTGGCCACGCGTTCACTCAGCTGGCGAAATGCTATGAAAACTTTGAATTTTGGAAATTTTTAGGCCAAACGACCATTTTTAGGCCATTTGGGCCTTTTTTGAACTAAATAGTCAAATATTCTTGGGATTTTCAGTAAAATTTTATCACAAATCGATAAAGACTTACTTGAATTAATTTTTCGTCGATCGACTCGTCCAAATTTCCAGCGAAATCGGTCGAATTGGGTGAAATTGGAAAAAATTTCTGAATGAGAGAGTACACTCTCTCGCCGTCCGCAACTGCGCGTCGCAGTGTTTACACCCAATGCGCATTTCTCTGCGCGCACCGTATTCGGAGGCAAATTCGTCTTGACGGGGTTCAGTGATTATTTTTGATCGATTTGGACGGATTTTCGTGATAAAAATCAACAGAAATCCAAGGAGAAACACACATATAGTATGACATTGCAGATTTTAGGGTTTTATCGACACATCTGCTCTCCTCCGGCTCATTATTATGGCCTTGTTACTGTTTCAACGGTGTCGAAACGAATTCTGACCAGAATCTGGCTGAATTCTGACGAATATACGTCTTCTCGCTATTTACAGACCACGGTGTGGACCCGATCAATTTTTCCGATGTTTTTTGGCGAGATTTTATTCGGATTTTTATCGAATTTCCGTAGAAATTCATCGTCAGGCTTATAATTATAGCCTTTTAGTGTTTCGACAGTGTCAAAACGAATTCTCACCACCATTTGGCTGAATTCTGACGATTTTTTGTTATCTCGAATGTTTACAGACCACGATGTGGACCTGATCGGAATATTTTTTATAGAATTTTAGTCAAAAATCATTGTCAAACGAGGGAATCCTCTAGCTGTCTCTCACCTTTACACACTCTCTCATCCTCTGTGACGTCTCTCGGTTTCGCACACTCTCTAGCATCTCGATAATTTCGAAATTTTTCGAAATTGAATTTTTTTGATCAATTTTCAGCGATTTTTCACGATTTTGACTGGAAATCCTGATGAAAAGCAAGGAATAGTCCTTTGTAATAGGGCGAATACATGAATAGTGGCTTCAGATGACTTTTCAGCACACCTCGGGATTTTTGGAACTTTTCGGCTTCATTCATCGATCGATCGGATTTTAAGACTTTTTACGGTTAAAAATTGGGTCTGTAATTCATTATTAGCAAGAAAGAAGCGGAGAGAGAAGAGGAAATCGATAAAATAGGGTCTCAACACAACAGGGAAGTGGGGCAAGCGCAGCCACGCAAACAGCTCTCGGATTCGACTGGGTTCGTGATTTTAGGCCCATTTTTTAGAAATCAAATTTTTTTTTTGGAACTCCAACATTCACGGGACCGTCCGTCGATGCACCATGTTGACAGCGGATCCTCAGTCAGTCGAGACCGATCCTATGTCCTAACCTGAGAGTGCTCGCTGCGCCTGTAGCGCGCCCTAAAAACCTGAAAGTGTGTATGAGATAAGCGGTGCAAATACAAAACAGTACACAAAGTATCATTGACCCATTTATTAGAGAGAAAAGGATGGGGACAAGACAAACGGTAAAGACAATCAAAGGGGAAATACCAGCAAGAACAGAAAAAAGGGGGAATAATGGTGTAGGGCTAAAACCTGACGGCGGAGCCGCCAGGAAACCTTGCGGACCCACGAAACTGGAGCTGGTCAAACCTCTGATAGCCAAACGTACAAAAAGGGGGAAAATCTGGAAGTAAAATTGCCTAAAAAGTCCTTGGAGCTACCGGCGGCAAAGCGGTGCCCGGACGCAAGAGACGACTACGCGCGCGGAGAGTGCACGGCGCCTGTCGGCTGGCGTCGCGGGTCTCGCCACGCGGGTGCGCCTTTAAAAGGGTAAAAGGAGTGGTAATTCAAAAATGAATATTCGCATTGAATGAATGCGAGAAAGAATAATTTCACAGAATAATATCGGAAATAAGGGAAAATAGTGAATGAATAATCAAAGCAAGTAATTCAGGGGGGTTTTGCGGGGAAAATCTGTAGACCCTGAGTTACTCTGCTTTCAGGTTGACAATTATCTGCGGGGAACCCGGATTTTTGTCAAGAGACAGGGTAGCTCAGGCGGTGAGCAAGTTTGATTCAATTTATCTCGGTTCCTGTAAAAGATATCAAAAAGTTGTCAACTGATAAAATGTTTATCATCTTATCAGTAATATTTTATTAGTTTACAACTTTTTGATATGTCTCACTGTAACCGAGATAAATTGGGTCAAAATTGCTCGCCGCCTAAGCGATCTCTGAACTTTGAACCGATATATCTCGGCTCCCATAAGAGATATCAAAAATGTGTCAACTGATAAAACGCTGCTGATATCATGAGAAGCAATTTATCAGTTGACACATTTTTTATATCTTTCACAGGAGCCGAGATAATTGAGCTCAAACTTGACACTGTGTGAGGGGTTACTGTGGACGCAAATGAATCACATGGAATCACATAGAAATTTGTTTTTAGAGCTAAAGGTCAGAGAGATATCTAGGATTTGCTGCCACCCCAAAAGAAGTTGGGGGGTAGTTAAGAAATAATGTGTTACGTGGAGGATGCTATGGAGTTTTTTTAGATTGGGCAGAATTTGGGGGTGGGTGTGTTAATGATTGAGATTCCCCCCCCCCCCCCCCAAATCTTTCCAGTCCTATTCCAGAATTTTCCCCCTTGTTCCTTTTTTTTTTGAATTTTTGAAGTTTCCAAAAATTTCAGATGTCCCCAAGAGATCAAATCGTTGAAATCGAGGGTGCAGGAACTCCAATAATCGGTCTAAACCCATTCAATCCACCGCGAAACTTCGAGAACAATCCAGAAATTATGACGGAAGGCGAAATTTGCTGCCATGTCCTCTTTCTCTGCGTCCTCTCACTCTTTTTCGTTATTATCCTCTCTGCTATTGTTAAAATTATCGATCTGTAGCTAATAAATTGATCTTTTCCTTTGAATATCTGTGTTTTTCATAGAAAATCGGTCAAAAACAGTAAAAAATTCAAATTTCCGGCTAAAAATTTGAAATATTAACAGTTTGCTACCCTTCAAAGCTCATCTGACTCAATTTGAGCATCAATTTTTGAAATCCCCACAAAATTTCACCTTTAGACCCTTTTGTCTCGAGTCGCTATCTCATTTTTGGTTTTTCTGGGTTACTGTAGCCGCAAACACCGCAACAAACAACACATCTTACGACACTTCGTCTAATCTTGCTTATTTTTGGTGTCCAGGGGTAGTTATAGGCAGGCAACTTGAATTTGATGATGAATTTAAGATTAGATTCCTGTAGGGACCCGAAATTTTAATTTTTAGCAGTTTCCTACTTTTCAAAACTCATATATCTCAATTTAAACATCAAATTCGGAACTCTCACAAAATTTGACACTGAAACCATTTTGTTTCGAGTCGCCAGCTCATTTTTGGTTTTTTGGGTTACTGTAGCCGCAAACACCGCGCCAAACAACGTATCTTACGACAAGTTCTCTAATCTTGCTCATTTTTGATCTCCGGGGGTATTTTTAGCCGAGGAATTCAAATTTGATAGTGAATTTGAGATTAGATTTCTGTAGGGACCCGAAATTTGAACTTTTCGCTAATAAATCGATTTTTTTCCGGAAATCTGCTCAAAAAAACAACATTTTCTCTTTTTCAGCATTTTCGAATTTTAAGAAATATTTATTTCTTAGAGTAATTACAGTCATTCAAGGTTACAAGATAATTAATGATGAAATAGAAAAAAATCAATAAATCGATTTTTAGGTGGATGGGGAGGATGAGTGATCGGAAATCTCTACATCTGACTTTCGGCGGCAAATAAAGTATTCTGGGACAATTATAGAAAGTTCTCGACGACGAAGAGCCTGAAAAACTCAAAAATTAAAAAAAAATCGATTTTTTGTAAAATAAAGTTCTTTGACCTACCTGAAAAAAATGTGCAATATATATATTATAAAGATGCGAATTGGAGTTCGGGACCGTACCCGGAAAAAAGCGAATTAATGAAAAAAAATTGTATTAATTAATTGAAACATGTGTATTATACAAATTAGGTATAATTATGTATACATACAAATTGGCATGCTAGAAACTTGGCACAAAAGGAGGATTTTTCTAAATTCTGGAGATTTTTTGTGGGATTTAACTGCGAAATTTGAATTCAGGACGTTGAGAGCTTTGAAATGAGTATAATCATGACCTAATTTTGAAAATTTATATTTTTGGACCACCTATGCGCCTTTCAAGGCGACATTTCAAGTTTAAATAAACATAGTCGAGTTTGGGCTCATTTCGAAGGAAATTTCCTGCTTAATTTTTATTTGAAACGTAGAAAAATCTTAAATGAGTATAATCATGACATGCTTTGAAAAATGTTTGGGTCCCGACACGAAAAAAAGTGAAATTACCGTATCTCGGTCAGTTTTGCTTCGAATTTCATGAAAAGTATACGGTTTTGCTCATTTTCTCAAGAGCTTAATAACGACTATAATCATGACCTACTTTTAAGAGTTATCTATTTTTGCTTTTTTTGGCTCCCACCACGAAAAAGTTTAAAGCTACCGTAATTTTTTTAATTTTTGTTCAAATTCTATAAAACTGCTATCATTAAATTTCTATTGAAAAGTGCTTCAAAATGAATATAATCACGACCTACTTTTAAACATTTTCTATTTTGACTGCTTTAGGGTCTCGCCACGAATTGTCAAACGCTACTGTAACTCCCTTCGTTTTGCTCCAAGTTTGATATAACTTTCACCATTCTATTTGTTTTGAGAAGTGCTTCAAAATGAGTATAATCATGAACTACTTTTGAAAAACTTCCAAATTCAGACCCCTATGCGCCTTTAAAGTCGAAAATTCAAATTCAAAGAAACATAAGCATGATTATACTCACTTTGAAGAAAACTTCATGGTGAATTCAAATTTCGTATTTTAATCTCCCAAAAACCCTTCAGACTCCTAAAAAATCCCAATTTAAACATGCGTATTTCTGGGTGATAAAGAAAATCGCCGGCGCACACATTTTGGTGATATCGAAGCAATAGTTTGAAGTAAATTGCATGTAGTCGTTGATGGTGAAGACGTGGAATCGTCTTGATTGATTCCATTCGTACGTATAACAGCCAACGAGTGCCGAGAAGCCATGCGATTTTTTGTAGCTTTTGCCGTTTTCACCTGGGTTAAGTCTTGTTTCGTTTCGACGGAAAACGAGACGCCTGAATCTTCTCCAGAGATTGAGTGTTGTCCGTTGATAGCCTAGAATTAAAGATTTTCCAGAAAATTCCACACATTTTAAGCAAAAAATCATGAAAATCGGTTGGGGAATCGGGAAGTTATGATAATTTTTGAACAAAAAAAAAACTGAAATTTCGAAAAAATTGTTCTGCCCATATTTCTTTAAATTCACTTTTGAATTTTGAATAACTTGAATTTTTGAATTCAGCAAGTTAAGAGCTTCAAAATGAGTATAAACACGATGTACGTCCAAAAAATGTTGGGTCCCATCACGAAAAAGTGAAAAACTACCGTAACTTTGTGAATTATGGTTCAAAATTTATGACACAACTACCATTAGATTTGGCAAAACAAGAGCTTGAAAATGACTACCATCATGACCTACTTTCCTCAAATTTGATTTTTCCGACATCCTATGCGCCTTTAATCTCGAAATTTCAAATTTGAAGGAACATGGTCATGATTATACTCATTTTGAAGCTCTTAGAATGACAATTTTGAATTCATAAGAATTTTTGAGTGTTAACCTAAATTGATTGAGATACGAGTAAAACAAGGTTTCAGAAAAAAACATTTGAAGATAAGTAAAACAACCGTATTTCCTTTAATTTTGAGTTAAACTCAGATTTTTTGATGAATCAATGTTTGACATGTTAAGAGTTTCAAAATGAGTATAATCATGATTATGTTCCTCAAAATTCGAAATTTCGAGTTTAAAGGCGCATAGGGGGGTCTGAATTTCGAAACTCTAGGAAAATAGGCCATGATTATACTCATTTTGAAGCTCCTAATTTGCCGAGTTCAAAATTCACAAAATTGTGAAGTTTAGATTCAATTTTAAAGAAATATGAGCAAAAATATTTTTAAAATTTTAAAATTTTCTAAAAATGATCATAACTCCTCCATTTCCTAACCGATTTCGATGATTCTTGGCTTAAAATTTTTGGAATTTTCTGGAATTTTCTAGAAAAAATCAAAATCAACAATTACTGTACCTGCTTATTGCTCTTCCTAATCGCTCCCGACTCACAGTAGCCCACTTTCATTCGATCGATAATAAAACGAAGGACCTCTCTCCAAAGGATAATTGCCGAGTCGATTTCAGCAAATGACATTTCTTTGTGTTTTGTGAATCTGGAAAATCTATAAAAATTTTCAGAAAAAATCTGGAATTTTTGAAAAAAATAATTTTCCAAAATTTTCCGTTTTTCAAAAAAAAAATTCTTACTTATTATGAGATTTCATTGCTTTTCTGAAATGAAAAAGCACGCATTCTTTGAATACCGACCAGTAATGTGCGCTGAAAAAAAATCGATTTTTTTCTAGCAATTTCTAGAAAATTCTGAAATTTTGTTACCTGAATCCCAATTGCTCCTCGTGTTTGGCATGGATTTTTCCTAAATTCAGAAAAACCGCATCTAGCTGAGATGGATCGTCCAAATGGCTCATTGTGGACTCGATGACCTGGAAGTTTTCGAAATTTCTGGAATATTCTATAAATTTGGTGGTCAAAAATCATCAAAAACAGTTGATTTGCCGATATTTTCATTTTGAAGACTTATTCTTGCCGTATCTCAGTCAATTTTCGTCAAAATTTGAAAATTTGAAAAGATTTGAAATTGCCATGTTGATGGCTTTAAAACGAGTATACGCATGACCTACTTTTGAAAATATCGATTTTTGGACCCCTATGCCTTTCAAGTCGAAATATCAAATTTAAAGGAACATAGTCATGATTATACTCATTTTGAAGCTCTTAACATTTTAAGTAAAACTCAATACAAGTTTTAAAGTTTAACCCAAAATTGAATGAATTACGGTTGTTTTAATTATCTTCAAATGTTTTTTTCTGAAACCTTGTTTTACTCGTATCTCGATCAACTTTTGTTGAAACTCAAAAATTCCGCTGTTGTTTGACTCAACAAGTTGAGAGCTTCAAAATGAGTATAATCATGACCTACTTTCCAAAAATATCAAGTTTCGGACCCTCTATGCGCCTTTAAAGGCGAAATTACAAATTAAAAAGAACATGGTCATGATTATACTCATTTTGAAGCCCTAAACGTTAAAACGCCAGATAATTTAAAATTTTTTGGTTTGGTAAAAAATTGGCCGAGATATGGTGTAAACAATTTTTCAAGACAACCTTTAAAGGCGCATGAGGGATCCAAAATTTCAAAAATTTCAAAAGTTGGTCATGATTATACTCATTATGAAGCTTTTTTCAGTTTAACTCAAAATTGAAGGAATTACGGCGGTTTTACCTATCTATGTTTTTTTGCAGAAACCTTGTTTTTAACATAACTCGGTCAATTTTTGTTGAAACTCACAAATTCCGCAATCTTTTGACTCAACAAGTGGAGAGCTTCAAAATGAGTATAATCATGAACCACTTTCTTCGATTTTCAAAATCCGGACCCCCCTGTGGGGTTCATGCGCCTTTAAACTCGAAAATTCAAATTTAAAGGAACATATACTAGCTTTGAAGCTCCAAGCGCGCCAAACTCAAATTCACCACTAATACCTGCAAAAATCGAACTGCATGGAAGATGAACTCGTTGCTCTTCTTGTCTTCCCTGAAAAAAAAATTAAATCTAAAATCTACAGTAACCCAAAATCCTACTTGTAATCTTTCATCATAAACGAGAACATCAGTTTCGCATCTGGGGCTTGTTCGAAAATCATTTGAAATATGTTCACTGCCACTTGTTGCATGTCTCTGGAAACGTTTAATTGGCCAATTAATTTTTTGAAATTTAAAATTTAGAAAAACAAATCTTACTTGGAAACAATTCCCCATGACTTGTTGAGAATTTCTCTGTCTATTGGGGTGAGATGGGATAGAGATTCCATCTGAAAATAGGAAGCATATGTTAATTAGGGTTAATTAGGATAATTAACGAAACCTTTTCAAAGTAGGTCATGATTTTATTCATTTCGAAGCTCTCAACGTTCCAAATTTGGATTTATCACAAATTTTTTTTTTCAAAATGAGCCGAAACTCTATTATGTTTCTTCAAGTTTGAAATTTCGAGTTTAAAGGCGCATGGGTGTCCAAAACTAAATTTTTCTCAAAAGTGAGTCATGATCATACTCATTTTGAAGCTCTTGACAGATGAATTATAATGATACAATTTTATATAAGAGCTTTTGGAGCTAAACTGACCGAGATACGGTCATTTTGAATTTTAGGACTTTTCGTGGTGGGACCCAAAAATTAAAGTTTTTGAAAGTAGGTCATGATTGTAGTCATTTTGAAGCACTTGAAGAGCTAAACACAACCGTGTAATTTTCACAAAACATGGATATTTTCTGACAGAGATACGGTAGTTTGAGTGATTTTCGTGACGGGACCCAAAAATAAAAAAAATTCAAAAATGGGTCATGATTATACTCATTTTGAAGCACTTGAAGAGCTAAACACAACCGTGTAATTTTCACAAAACATGGATATTTTCTGACAGAGATACGGTAGTTTGAGTGATTTTCGTGGCGAGACCCAAAAATGAAAATTCCTCAAAAGTGGGTCATGATTATACTCATTTTGAAGCACTCGACAAATGAATTATGAAAATAAAATTTTCAGAATTCTTGGAGCAAACTTGACCGAGATACGGTACTTCCAACTTTTTCAAAAAATTTCGAATTTTTCAACAAAATTTTTTTCTCGATTTTTCAAAATTTTTGAGCTAAAAACGTGCAAAATCAAAGAAAAAAGTGTTTTATGAGAATCAAAAACTATTTTTTTTCTCCTATAATTTATGTATATTTTGGTCCTCAAATGTATAATTTACTCCCAGAAAATTCTAGAAAAATTGCGTTTCTCGGAGCAAGAGAATAAAAAAGAGAAGAATGAATTTCAGAGTCATTTTCAGAAAAATTTTCAGACAAAGAAAAAGACAAAAAACAATTTCGTTGGAAAAAATATGGGACCACTTTTCCTAGGAAAACAAACAATTTTTTTCCAATTCTCGGTTTTTTTTTAGGAATTCGTCAGCCATTTTTTATACATTGAGAAAAAAATTTCAGCGCAATTTTTCCATTTTCGGTCTGGATCATAAATTTTGAGCCGGCAAAAAAATTCCAAAAAAAAAATTTTTTTTTTCGGGAGAAAAATTTTTTTGACAGCTAGCTGTCAAAACCTTCGAATTTCTTATTTATAGATATATTCCACCATTCCGCCCCCTTTTTGGGAAAAAAAGACCAGAAAACTAGACGTTAGGGACCCAAAATCAGTTTTTTGTTTAGAAATTTAAAATTTCCGGGCGAAAATTTCTTTTTGAATTTTGAAAATTCTATATTTCAATTTTTTGAGTTTAGAGCTTCAAAATGAGTATAAACACGCCTATGTTCCTCTAAGTTTGAAATTTCGACTTTAAAGGCGCATGGTGGGGTCAAAAATCAAATTTTTCGAAAGTAGGTCATGATTATACTCATTTTGAAGCTCTCAACGTAAAAACTGCATATCTGGCAAAATTTTTGGCTTTGAACAAAAATTGAGCTAGTTACAGTAGTCAAAACTCCCCAAAGACCGGAAAAAGGAGCTGCAAAAACTACCGTATTCTCTTCAATTTTGAAATAAACTGGAATTTTTTGAAACATTCTTATTTAAAATGTTTAAAGCTTCAAAATGAGTATAATCACGACTATGTTCTTTCAATTTTCAAATTTCGAGTTTAAAGGCGCATAAGGGGGGTCAGAAATCGAAATGTTCAAAAGTAGGTCATGATTATACTCATTTTGAAGCCCTTTCCTTGGAAAATTCTAAAAACCTAAAATGTTATAATTTGTACAAAAACTGAGCGAGTTACGGTAGTTTGAAATGTATAATGCGCCTTTAAACTCAGAAGTTTAAATTTAATCCGGCAAATGTCACACTTTTTTTCAAAAAATATTGGGTTTCTCGATAAATGTGCCGTCAGCCAAAATTTCTGGGTTTTGGTCCATCTGAACACTTTTGGGACCAAAACTCAAGAAATTTTTTTTGAAAAGCTGCGAAATGCATTTAATGTGAAAAATGAGCAATTTCAAACTTCGAGAATGTTCCCCAAGGGGGAAATTTTTTAGATAAGGAACTTTTTTGTGGGAATTCAAAAATATGGCTTCAGAAAACCTCAAAATCTTATTTTTCCAATTTTCAGACTCTTCCAGATTCAAAAAAAAAATCGTAAAAAATAGAAAAAAAAAGAAAAATTGAGCCTTGGGGTGTTTTAAATGTAATTGAAGGTAATTGGCAATTTCGCTAGAAAAGAAGATTTTTCCCTTTTTTTCTTCTTTCTTTCCATTTTGTTTTCCTCCCGCTCTCTAAAGGATTAAGGGGAAGAAATGGAATTAGGTTTCCCCTCCTCGCAAATTAGAAAAAAGAAATTTTAATTGAAAAAATAAGTACCTTGTGACCAACAAGACACTATAAAAAGGAGTAAAAATGAAAACAAAAGAGTAAGCCCAATGCGGGGCTCGAACCCGCGACAACCAGATTAAGAGTCTGGTGCTCTACCGACTGAGCTAACCGGGCGGCATTGAAGAGAGAAGGCGAGTGCGTATAAGAATAGGGGGAGAGACAGAGGAGAGGGCGGGAGGGGTAGGCGAGAGGGGTAATGGTTAAGGAATTTGGGTTGTTTCGTTAGACCGATTTGGGCCATTTCAGGCCGTTTTAAGCCATTATAAGCTGATTATCTGCAATTTTAGGCTGAAAAAACTCAAAAAATTCATTAATTCACATAGAATTTGAATAAGGAATTGGATAAAAGCCAGAGGAATGTCTCAAAAAGAGAGATATGCAACAATGGAATTATTGGAGACAAAGACACAATGAAAATTTCAGCAAAAAAAAAAGAAAATGGCTAAAATTGAATTTCAGGGACAACAGAAAGGAAAAATCGTGTTCTGGATGATTCGAAAAGTCCAAAAAAGAAATTAGCGCTTCACAATGCCTAGCAAAGTGTCCAGACCCAAAATTGATCCCTCATCTTTTCCTTCATAAATGTTATCTCCTTGAAAACCGCCGAATGTCGCGTTGGCGAAATCCACAACTTTGATTCGGACCAGATTTTCGATTGGCGTTGATTCTAGAAGATAAATTGGGATTTTTGTGATTCCAATGGGGTTTTTGGAAGATAAAACTGTGAAATTTAAATTTACCACAAAATTTGCTTTCAAATGAGTATAAACACGACCATGTTCCTTTAAATTTGAAATTTTCGAGTTTAAGGGCGCATGAGCCGCGTGGGGGAGGCAAAATTTCAAAATCTTGGAAAGTAGGTCATGTTTATACTTATTTTTAAGCGCTTGACATGTGAAATGCAATGATGTTAAAATTTTTGATTTTGAATAAAAATTAAGCGAGTTACGGTAGTTTTCAACTTTGCAAATATCGACTTTAAAGGCGCATAAGGGGTCGGAAATCGAAATGTTGTAAAGTAGGTCATGATTATATTCATTAGAAAGCTCTTAACGTCAGCAATACGAAACTATCAAAGTATTTGAATTTAAACTAAAACTGAACGAGTTACAAAATGTTTGAACATGTTTTACTTTAAGAAAACGGTAGAACTACCGTAACTCTGTCAGTTTTCGCACAAACTGCGGAATTTTAAAAATTTCTTGTTTTTTAGATAAAAAGCTTCAAAATGAGTATAAACAAGCCCATGTTCCTTTAAATTTGAAATTTCGATTTAAAGGCGCATAGGGGGTCTGAAGTTCGAAATTTTCTAGAAGCTGGCCATGATTATACTCATTTTGAAGCTCTGAACGTGCCAAATTGAATGCTGTATTTTTCATAAAAATTGAGCAACAACTAAGTGAGCTATAGATCAAAAAAAAAGAAAAAATGCCCTTAAAAATGTTTGAAAGTTTTTAAACCACCATATCTCGGTTAGTTTTTAATCGATTTTTAACACATTATGCTCAAAAAATAGCAAATTTCATCCTAACTCCAAAAATCATAATCACCTTTGATTTCACTCTCAATAACAATGAGTAAACTGGCTCCAAACAGTCGAACCCTTTCGGTGTCGTTTAGCACACCTCGAATCGCCAATAATTTCGTTTGTACCAATTCCAAAACATTTTCAGGAACATCAAAAAATTGTTGAAGTGCTAGAAACAATTCAATTTTTCCCATTTGTCGTCCCTCATACTTATTGATTGAAATTTGATTTTGAGACTCGGATGGCGGACGTTTCATTCCGCATAATCTGAAAAATTATTTTTTTTTTTGGAATTTCGAAATCACAAATAGTTACCGTATCCCGAGAGCTGCAGACGTAGTCGATTGACACTTCGCAGTCATACATGCAATTTTGGCTACTGTAGCTTGATCGCCGTGTTGACGAGTTCCCAATTTCAGGTCCAAAATTCGAGGAGACTTCATACGGTACGTCAAATCGGACAAGACAATGAAGTTTCTGGAATTTGCTATGTTTTAGTAAGCCTAATCATGCTCCTCCAAGTATGTGTATGTCCCTTTAAGCTTGAATTTTCGATTTTAAAGGAGCGTGGAAATTTTCAAACTACCGTAACTCGCTTGATTTTTGTTCAAATTAAAAAAAGTTAAAAGTTCTGTATTTAAAAAATTATGAGCTTCAAGATGAGTATAATCATGACCTACTTTAAAATTTCGAATTTCGGGCCCCTATGCGCCTTTAAACCCGAAATTTCAAAATTAAAGGAATATGGTCATGTTTATACTTATTTTGAAGCTCTTCATTTGAAAATATGAAATTTAAAAAAAAATTTGTGGTTATCTTAAAAACTAACAGAGTTACGGTAGCTTGAAAGTGTTCTACATTTTGCATATGGAAGAAAATGTTCAAACTACCGTAACCCGCTTAGTTTTTTTGCCAAATCAAAAAATTTTTACCGTTTTGAATTCGTGAAATTAAGAGCTTCAAAATAAGTTTAATCATGACCTACTTTTGAGAATTTTAATTTTCGGAAAAGTTATGCGCCTTTAAAGGTGGATATGACAAACTTGATAAGACTATATCTCGGTCAATTTTATCTCAAACTCAAAAACTATAAACTATTTGATGTTCTGACGTTTAGAGCTTCAAAATGAGTATAATCATGACCTACTTTCGAAAAATCTCAATTTCCGGACCCCAATGCGCCTTTAAATGCAAAAATTTGAACTTTAAGGAACATGGTCATGTTTATACTCATTTTGAAGCTCTTAATCTTTAAAACTCAAATTTCAAACCGATCACCCCTAAAAATCAAACCTACTTTGACAGTTTCCTCTTATTCAAAATTGGTGATCCTTCGATGCTCTCGGGGATTACAACATTTTCCAGCTGATGCTGTCGACAATTCACACAACTATCATCGAATGTGCTCACAGAGCTCCCTTGGATTGTGCTACAGCATAATGGAGCAATCGATTTCAGGGATTTGGGCATTTTTTGATAAAAATAAAGTTCTCGCTCGACGCACGGCTTCAGGAGGTGTCCATTGGGAAGAGATGTGAATGGGGTGTGACCGCCGACCTGGAATACATTGCTCATCTTAACTTTGATTTAAAAAAAGGAAAAATTCTAGAAATGCTGGTTTTTAAATCGTTAAAAACGAGGGAAAACTGATCGAGTTATGATCGTTCATTGAAAATTCTGTAATATTTTTACTTTGTCGCATAACTTTCTTTAAGCTTAAAATTTTCGAATAAAAAATATATGTTTGAATTTGTCTTATTAAGAGCTTCAAAATGAGTATACACACGACTAGGCTCCGCTCACTTTGAGATTTGACTTTTAAAGGCGCAGAGGGGGTCCGATAAATGGAATTCAAGGAAAGTAGGTCATGATTATACTCATTTTGAAGCGCTCAACTTAATAAAGTCAAAAATTTAAGAAAAATCAGGTTTACACCAAAATTGGCGGAAATACGGTAGATAGAATTTTAGAGCCAAAAATGATATTCAAATTTAAAAGGAGCCTAATCTTTTTTATCTTTTATTCAAATTGAATTTTCATAACAGGTTCATGCTAAACGCGTTCAGAGCTTCAAAATCAGTGTAAACATGACCTACTTTTGAAATTTCATTTTTTTAGGTCCTACCGCGACAAGTCAAAAACTACCGTAACTCCTTTTATTTTGCTTTACATTCAGTGAAAAACATATCATTTAATTTGTCTTAAAAAACTCTTCAAAATGAGTATAATCATGACCTACTTTTCTTCATTTTCAAAATCTGGACCCCCTATGCGCCTTTATACCCGAAACTTCAAGTTTAAAGGAACATAGGCATGATTATACTCATTTCAAAGCTCTCAACAGGGCTAATTCAAATATTCTGTTAATTGTTGTAAGAAAGGATTACCTGATGGTCAAACGGCTTCAAAACATCCTGAACATTGACTGTGGCTCCATCCAGCGACGACGCTCGTTTTATATTCAAAACCATATCTGAAAATTTGAAAAATTTAGGTTGAAAAGTTTGCGAATTAGTTTAAAAATGACGAAAAAATGTGTAAAATACTTTTGTTCTGAGGAAAAGCTGAGCAAACAAGTCTAAGAAATCATAGGTAAATGAAAATGATTTTTTAAAGAAATTTCTGGAATTCAGGTTGTTTTTTAGGCTCAAAAAGGCCTAATAAGCCTGAAAATCCAAAAAAAAATCTCAAAAATTTTCCGAAAAAAGTTGGAATGTATTGACTAAAAATGATGCAATTCAGCTCAAAATAGTCCGATTTTAAATATTTTTTTTGCTTGAAATTTCTGGTTTTTCGGCCTAAAAAGCCTAAAATTCAAAATTTGAAGTTTAAAAAAACAAGGGATCAGTGAGAGAAACGTGCGAAAAAGACATGTGCTCTGCCTGTCTTCCCCCGGAATTTCGTCGGTTTGTATAGTAATTCGAGAGGAAAATCAACAAAAAAAATGGAGAGAAGGACAAAATCAGGTGAGCAATTTGAACAATTCACACACAAATAGACAGAGTGGAGACAATGAAATTTTGTGGTGGGAAACAATTTTTTTTTTGTGAAGGATGATTTTTTGTGAAGGAGAATCAGAAAAGTTTTGATCACTAAAACTACCACAACTCAGCCAGTTTTTGTGCAAATTTCAAAATTCTTAAATTTTCATATTTTGCAAGTTAAGAGCTTCAAAATGAGTATAAACACGACCATGTTCCTTCAAACTTGAAAATTTGAGTTTAGGGGGGTCCAAAATTTCGAAATTAAGGATAGCCCCCTATGCGCCTTTAAAGTAGGTCATGCTTATACTCATTTCGAAGCGCCTTTTGAAACAAACAAATTGATAGTAGTTTTGTTTTAAGGCGCATAGGGGGGTCGGAAATTTGAAAATCAAGGAAAGCAGGTCATGACTATACTCATTTTTAAGGACTTTCTAAAATAAATTGCATGCTATCTTTTTCACTGAGTTTAAAGAAAATTGAAAGGAGTTACGGTAGATTTAACTTTTTTGTTGTTATAGATGATCACTTTCAAACTACCGTAACTCAGTCAGTTTTTGTGCAAACTTCAAAATTTTGTAAAATTTGCATTTTGCAGTTTATGACCTTTAAAATGAGTATGATCATGACCATGTTCCTCAAAATTTGAACTTTTGAGTTTAAAGGCGCATGAGGGTGTTGAAAATCCCAAAAATCAATAAAAAATTCAAAAGTAGGTTATGATTACACTCATTTTGAAGCTTTTGACGTGTGAAGTGCACTACTGTAAGAATTTCCAAGTTTGAACAAAAACCAAACGAATTACGGTAGTTTGAAGTTGAAAAATTTAGCATGCGCCTTTAAACTGGAATATTCAATAAGTAGGACATGTTTATACTCATTTTGAAGCTCGTAACGTATCAAATTCAATGGTATAATTTTCACAAAAATCTGACCAAAACTAAAAAAGTTATCAATAAAATATCTAAAAATGTATAAATTTCGTCCCTAGGTATCTCGATCAGTTTAAACGCGACTTTCGAAATCTAAAAATGACGTGAGTGAGTACAAGATGTACCTGGGGACTAGTCATACTACTATGACGGATCAATGAAACAAGAGGAAGAGGAAAAAAGCAAAAACTTATGACTGCTAGACACACGGATTTTTGTTCTTTGTCAAACAACAACAAAAAAAGCGGACCCATCGTAAACCTGACGGGGGACCCATGGATGTTATGAGAGATACAACTGATGGGGCGTGGGTGCTTTTGGGATGAGAAGATAGGAAGAAATCAAGAAACAACATGTGGTGTGAGGGGAGATTTAGAAAAAAAACTGGAGATCAAAATAGAAAATATTGACCGAGACTAGAGCTTGCATCACTCCCTTAGTCTGATTTGTCTTGTTGAGAACTTCAAAATGAGTATACTCATGACTATGCTCCTTCAAGTTTGAAATTTCGAGTTTAAAGGCGCATTAGTGCCCTTGAAGTTCGAAAAGTAGGTCATGATTGTATTCGCTTTGAAGTCCTCAACACAAGAAAATTAAATATGTCAAAAATGTTCGTTTTGAGGAAAAATTGGCCGAGATATGGTCTAAACAATTATTTCAAATCCACCTTTAAAGGCGCATGAGGGGTCAAAAATCAAAATTTTTCAAAAAGTAGGTCATGATTATACTCATTTTGAAGCGATTTTCAAGACAAATAGAATGATATTATTTTCACAAATATCGAAGCACAATGAAAGGAGTTACAGTAGTTCTCGTGGCGGGACCCAAAAATGATGAAATTAACAAAGTAGGTCATGATTATACTCATTTTGAAGCGATTTTCAAGACAAATAAAATGATATTATTTTCACAAATATTGGAGCACAATGAAAGGAGTTACAGTAGTTCTCGTGGCGGGACCCAAAAGTGATGAAATTAACAAAGTAGGTCATGTTTATACTCATTTTGAAGCTCTAAACATGAGAAATTAAAAAACTTGAGTTTTATGTAATTTGAAACAAAAATTGCAGAGTAGTCATCTATTCAAACAATTTCTCTGGAAAATTTCAAAAAATTTCAAAAGTTTTCCTTTTTTTCAATTTTGTCGCCAAGTGACGCAAATGACTAATCCTATTAACATTATATAGGTGTCATTTTATAAATGACTATGTAAATACACAGATTATGCGTCATTTTTGACATTTGGAGGTCTGAAAACTGAAAATTTCAGATTTTTTTCCAATTTTTCCTTTTTTTATCAGCGAAAAAAAAAGCGGAAAAGGGAAATCAAATATGACTCATATGTATATTTTTTGAGGGAGAAAACGCCCTAAAAATAGACTGAAAAAGTCAATAAAAAGGAAAAAGTAGTCTGTCCGGATTTCCGGAATACCGGATGTCCCGAAAAATCGATAATTGGCTTTTTTTTCGAATTTTAGGTATTTTTCAGAGTAAAAATTTCAAAAAGTTTAAAAAAAACTTTCAGAATATTTTTAAAGAAAAAAATTCAGGAAAAATTTGGAAAATATCGCCTTTTCGAAAAATTTCAAAAAAAACGATAAATTGACTTTTTTTTCGAATTTTTAGACTTTTTTCTCAGTAAAAATTGACTTTTTCAGTTTTTTTCGAAAGTTTTTAAAGTTTTGAACCAAGAAAATATCGATTTTTTAGAGAAAAAAAGGTTTTAAAATTTTTCAGCCGGAAAATCGATAATTTTCGAATTTTAAAGGTTTTTCTTCGATTTTTGACACCGCAAAAAGTTCTAAAAGTTAGCTAGATTGTCAGCATTATTTCCAAGAAAATAATTCCAAAAAAACTACAAAAAAAAACGGTTTTTCGAAAATTTTAAGGAAAAAATCGATAAATTCACATTTTTCGAAGTTAAAGACTTTTTTCACAGGGATTTCCAGGACAAAAAAAACGATTTTTTCTCCGTTTTCTGAAATTTTAAGATTTTTGAACCTGGAATATATCGATTTTTCAAACAAAAAAGCGGCTTTGAGGTTTTTTGCAAGAAAAATCGATTATTCACAGAAAAGGCTGAAAATATATTTTTCAATCTAAATTTTTGACTTTTTGACACAAAAAATGTTTAGAAAATTAGCGAAAATTTCAGGATCTTTTTTTCAGAAAAAAAATCGGAAAAATCTGAAAAAATCGATTTTTCGAATTTTTCATCAAAAATCGATAAATGTCAGTAAATTCGTTTTAAAATTGTACTAGAAAAACTCAGAAGTCTCTAATCATTAAAATTAGTTGAAAATTCCAGATAAAACTCTGAAAAATCGGGAAAAATAGAATTTTCTCGAATTTTTCGAAAAATCGATAATTCACAAAAATGGCTCTAAAATCTGTTCTAGAAGGGATTCTAATTTATAATTCATAATTCTAAAAAGGTGTTCGGAGCTGAAATTTGGCTCATTTGAATTTGCTGAAACTGGCGAATTTTTCAAAACTGGAAAAATCTTTTAAAAAGTAGTTCTCAATTATTTTTTGGGTGCAAACCTACTAAAACTACAAAAAATGTACTGATTCTTCAAAACAATAAAAAACCAGTTTTTTTTTCCAATTGATGTAAAAACATACATCAATATGATCAAACAACCATTTCCTTCTTTTATCAAATTGAAAAAATTTCTGATTTGATAAGAAAATTTTTTTTGAATTCAAAAAAATCTCTATTGTTCTATGACACTAAAATGAACTGAGAAAAGAGAAAAACAATGAAGGCAATGCGCCTTTAAAATGGGAAAAAGAAGAATTAAAGAAGTGATTAGAGAGTTAGAGAGCGAGAGAGTTAGAGAACACGATGGGGTGAGACTGGTTTTTCAATATGTACATGTACAGATGGCGGAAGGGATGTGATTGATAAGGATAATTTATCAGTGAAATTGAAAAGTATGAAAATCACGTGGAGAAAGCTAGAGAAACGAGGGAGCATCGTTTCTCTGGGTCTCTCTTCAACTTTAAGGGCGCATATCTCAAAAACTGAAAAAGCTACTGAAAATTTGATAACTAGAAAAGTGTAGCTCACAAAATTGCACATGTTTTGCTAGCTGGCAAAATATCTCTAGCTTTTTTAGTTTTTTTTAAAAATATGTGCCTTTAAACTTGTGAACCCTGCGTTGTAACTACCAAAGTTAAGGGTGAGCTAACTCTAAAGACGTATATCTCAAAAACTATGAAAGCTAGAAAAAGTGTATTCATTATTCAAATGTAGGTCATAACATTGTACGCAGTTTGTTAGTTGACAAACTATGTCTACCTTTTCTTGTTTCCGAGATATGCGCCTTCAAATGGGGAACACCGGCTCCCCTTTTCTAAAGTGCAAAAGCAGGGGTCAGCTAAGTTTAAAGGCGCATATCTCAAAAACTATGGAAGGTATTAAAAATTTGATAACTACAAAAATGTAGCTCACAAAATTTCACACATTTTGTTAGTTGACAAAATATTTCTAGTTTTTTTAGTTTCTGAGATATGTGCCTTCAAAGTTGGTACATCCCGCGCCCCTCTCTAACTTGCGCAGAGAGGGGTCAACCTTCTTTAAAGGCGCATATCTCAAAAACTGAAAATACTAGAACAAACAAGTCAACTGCAAAAATTTGGCTCTTAAAATTTTACACATGTTGTTAGTTGACAAACTGTGTCTACCTTTTCTAGTTTTTTAGATATGCACCTTTAAACTTGGAAGACCCGGCTTCCCTCTCTAATGGGAGAAGATAGGGGTCAGTTAACTTTAAAGGCGCATATCTGCAAAACCAAAAATTTTATCTAATATTTGTTAACTACAAAAATGTAGCTGATAAAATTGTATACATTTTGTTAGTTGACAAAATATTTCTAGCTTTTTTAGTTTCCGAGGTATGCGCCTTCAAAAAGGGCAGACCCGGAGTCCTCTCTGAGACGGTCAAAAAGACGGTCAAAAAGGTCAAAAAGTCAAAAGTCACGGTCAAAAAGATCAAAAAAAAGGAGACGGTCAAAAAGTTTTTCAGAAAAGTCTGAAAATCTCCAAGAAACTCTAGAAAACTCTAAAAATTGTGTACAAATCGTTTCAACTAGCGCCAACTAGTACTAAAATCTCTGCTTATCTCAAGAGGAGCGTGAACATTACTAGGAAAATGTTCCATTTCTCACTCTCCGTTTTACAAGACACAGTGAGAGAGTGTGGGAATCGAGGGGAGTGGGTTAGAGAAGGAGAGAAAGAAAGAAGGAACCACGTGGAATAGGAAACGGAAGAGGGAGGGAATCGGAGGTGATGGATAGGCATCAGGTGATCTTTGAATTTTGAAGGAACATGATGAATGAGGTTTTAGCAAAAAGATGGAAAAAAAAGATGATAGAAAACGTTTAGGTGTGGACAACAGTGTGGTCAGTGAAGGGGAGGATCAATCACCAGATACCTTTTAGAAAACACAGTATATCTCAAAAACCAAGAGTGCAATGAAAAATTGGTCAACTACAAAAATGTAGCCCTTAAAATTCCAAATATTTTATCAGTTGACAAAATACTTCTAGCATTTTTCGTTATTGAGCTATGCGCTTTTAAAGTTGGCAGACCCGGCGCTCCCTCTCTAACGGGCTACCGAAGGGGGAAGGCAACTTTAAAGGCGCATATCTCCAACACTATGAATGCTATTAAAATTTTAATAATTATAAAAATGTAGCCTCTAAAGTTTTACACTATTTACTAGTCAAAAGTTTTTCAATAACTCAAAAACCAACGAGGATACCGTAGCTGGAAACTAGGACGCAGAGGCACTAGACGCCATATCTATAGAAAACGCGCTCTATTGCAAAAACAAAATAAGCTATCAAATTTTTGCCAACTACAAAAATGTAGCCCTTGAACTCTTACACAATTCATCAATTGGCAATTTTTTTGTAGCTAGCAAACTAAAAAAGATACAGTAATCCAAAGATAAAGGTACAAAAAAAAAAAGAAGAAGGGGAAAGAAAGATGGTGTCTGAATAAGTCTATAGTCCCAAGAAAGGGGGCGGAGTCTAGAAAAAAAAAGAGGGGGCGGAGTTTTCTTTGAGTAACAATATTTTATTACGCCCCAATAGGCCAGCGATCTAAAAGTCAATAAAATGCCTAGTGTGAGTTCATATTTTTCTTAACCTGATGATTTATGAGGTTTGAAAAAGGCGGAGCTTCCAAAGGGGCGGGGCTAACCAAATGTACAAACTACATAAATGTAGTTTATAAAACTTCACACATTTTGTTAGTTTTTAAATTTTGGATAACTTTAAAACTAAGAAAGGTACGGTAGCTGGAAGTTATGATATTCCGCTAGGAAGGCGGACTTACAGAAAACGCGCTCTATCGCAAGAACAAAGCAAGTCATCAAAATTTTGTCAATTACAAAAATGTAGAACATAAAATTTCACAAATTGTATTAGTTGAAAAATATTGCAAAGCTTTTGAACTAACCAAGATACAATAGTTCAAAAAAAATCTCCCAAAAAAATAGGAGAAAGAGATGACTTTTGAATGATCCTGTAGACTTATAAAAGGGCGGAGCTTCCCAAGGGGCGGAGCTAGCTAAGTGTACGAACTATATAAATGTAGCCCTTAAAATTTTAAACATTTTTATAGCTGACAATTTTTTGATAGCAAACAAAACAACAAAGGTACGGTAGCTGGAAGTTTAGAGCCGCCAGATGCCTTGCCTGCACTGCGCCTTGCAGAAAACGCGCTCTATCGCAAAAACCAAGTTGGCTATCAAAATTTTGTCAACTACAAAAATGAAAAGCGTTAAATTTCACACATTTTATTAGTTAACAACTTTTGAGTATCTTTCAAACTAGCCAATTTACAGTAATCCAAAGATGAAGGTCCCAAAAATAAGGGAGAAAGAGAGGGGAGGCGCAGAGAAGCGATTTTCTCTAGCTGTCTAACTCTCTTCATTTCTATACTCTCAAAAATTTAAAAACTTGGAATGTGTAAATTTTTATAAGCTCCATTTTTGTAATTGACAACTTCTTGATATATTTTCCAGTTTTCGAGATATTTTAGTTTTTTCAATTGTCTTTTTTCATTTTTTTGAGAATGCAAAAAAATTAAAAATTAATTATTACAAATTAATAAATTACATAGCACCGGTAAGCTAATTACAGGGATTTCAAGAAATTCAATTATTAAAACAAAAAATGAGCAAAAAATTATTAATTAATTGAAGCAATTAAAAAAAAATTAGATTGAGGCAATTTTTGAGAAAGACGGGGATACGGTAGGATAGTTTATACCCGTTTGAATAATATTAGGGAATGCATAATTAAGATAATTAAGTGAAAATTAATTAGAACTTCTTCAGCTCGTCATCATCGTTGGCACGTGGTGGATGGATGGTGTGGATCTGGAACCGGTTTTGGGTTTAAAAACTTTGAAAATCAAATGTTGGAATTTGAAACATTGAAATTCGAGTTTACCATGTTAAGAGCTTCAAAATGAGTATAAACACGACTATGTTCCTTTAAATTTGAAATTTCGAGTTTAAAGGCGCATAAGGGGTCCGAAATTTGAAATTTTTCTAAAACTAGGTCATGATTATACTCATTTTAAAGCGCTTTTTACAAAAAATTGAATGATATGTGTTTCACAAATTTTGAACAAAAATGAAAGGAGTTACGGTAGTTTATGACTTTTCGTGGTGGAACCCAAAAATGATAAAATTTCAAATCCCCATAACTTTGTTCATTTTCAATCGTTTTTTGTGGTTTTCAGCTTAAAATGAAGCTCAATTTTTGAATTTTTAGGAAAATTGTGAAATCTTACATTTTGTCTCTGAATTGCACTTTGAAGAAGCGATGGTCTCTCACGGACACTATTCGAAAACTCTCGAGTTGTGTCGTCTCGTTCTAAACCAATGTCTGTTCGATCTGTTGGCATGTCGATTCTGGAAAAATACAAAAATTTCAGAAAAGTCGATTTCCAGATCTTTAGGAATTATCAGAAAAAAAAACTACTTTCAAAAAAATGTTTTTCCCAAAAAAACCCAAAAACTACCGTACCTATGCTCCTGTGGATCTGGCAGTGGTCTTCCAGCAAGTACAGTTTGTGCAGTTGCTCTTGTGATATTTTCCACGTCATACGGTCTTGGACCACTTCCAACTGAGTTGATCATATAGGCGCCTTCCATCACACCAGATGTATTACGGGCGCGGCTGGAAACATAGGGTTTTTGGGAGAACTATGAAAGATAGAAAAAGATTGTTAACTACAAAAATGTAGCTCCTAGAATTTTACACATTTCGTTAGTCTACAACTTTTTGATACCTCAAAAACTAAAGAAGATACGGTAGCTTGAAGTTTAAAGGTCCCGTTAGGAGGAGGGACTTGCAGAAAACGTGCTCTATCTCAAAAACTAAAAACGCTATCAAAACTTTGTAAACTACAAAAATGTAGTCCTTCAAATTTCCCACATTTTGTAGATTGTATTTTTTTAAATAGATCCTACAGGAACATAGATACAACGCTTGAAAGTTAGCACTCCCTATGCGCCGTTCTCTCTGCTGCGACTAGAAGACGCAGACAACTAGCGCGCCTAACTGTCTGCGTCTAATGTTCAAAGCGTTATATATCGGTTCCTGTAAAAGTTATCACAAAGCTTTAAGCGGATAAAATCTGTAAAATGTTAAGGGCTACATTTTTATAGTTGACAAATATTTAGTGGCTCATTTGGTTTTTGAGATAGAGCGCGTTTACTGGAGCATACTAGGCGCCGACACGGGGCCTAGGGTGCGCTAGCTTTAGAGCTCTGTATCTCAATTCCTAAGAAAGCTATCACAAAACTTTAAACTTATGAAATGTGTGAAATTTCAAGTTTTACATTTTTATAGTTAACAAAATTTTAGTAGCTTTATCGCTTTTTGAGATAAATCTTGTTTACTGCACCCAACTCAAAATTTCACTTACCGCTTCGCACAAAACATGATCAATGCACAAATAAAGAGCAGCAATGCCACAAGAACCACTAATAAAACAATTGTAAGAAGAGTTTGTGGTCCCGCAGACGCGTTTCCAGTTGATAAAAGTGAAACTGCTGAGATTTGCATCGGATGCAAATCATCAGAATTCGCCATGAGCAATCGTCGGAGCTCGTCTCTTCCAATCGGCTTCGAATTGTCCAATGCATACACAAACACATGACTTTTCTTGTAATCCGTTTTTCCATCGTCTCCAACATAAGGCTGAGCAACCAAAATTCGAGTTTCCATCCCTAGAATCTCACTTAACTTCTTCTCAACTGAATTTGGATCCAATTCCGAGTGAGGCGTTTCTTTTGTCAATTGAACTACATTTGTATCAACTGACAGCACGTAAATGTTGAGTGGAGTATGCACAGTATGTTTGCCATCGGATACGGTAGCTTGTAGTTCGAAATGCTCAATATCTGACTTCTCCAAAGACGATTCCAATTGAATTAAACCATTTGTTGAATTAATATGGAAATGCTCTGATCCATCACCCTCTAAACCGAATTTCAGCACTTCTGGAGTCACATCGAGATCTCTTGCTTGTAAATGAATCACTGGTGTCATCTTATTCGCGTTTTGATCTACCACAGCGGCTAGTGTAGAATCGCTGAGCAATTTTAGGAAAACTGGAGAGTTATCGTTGTCATCGAGTACAGTAACCACGACTAGTGTTTGCCATGGAGACAGTTTTGACGAGGATTCTGAAAGATCTTGATTTTTGGAGATTTTGAAAGAGTTATATCTTTAAAGCGAGCATATCCTGATATTCACTGAAAATTGAAACTACAGTATCTCGGTTGACTTTGGTCTAAACCTCAAAGTTTTATGATTTCTGAATTTGCAGTGTTAAGAGCTTCAAAATGAGTATAAACACGACTATGTCCCTTTAAACTTGAAATTTCGACTTTAAAGGCGCATAGGGGGTTCAAATTTGTAATTTTTCAAAAGTGTGTCATGATTATACTCATTTTGAAGCACTTTTTTATACAAAGTGTTTGGTCTAAATTTCACTAATTTGAGACGAAAATGAAGGAAGTTACGGTAGTTTTAGTGGGACCCAAAGGACCCAATTTTTTGTGGGACCCAAGCCCACATTTTTTGAAAAAATTGCTCGTTTTTCATCTAAACCTCAGAATTTTTAATTAGTTACATTCAGCAAGAAAAATGCTTCCAAATGAGTAATAATCATGACCTACTTTCCCCGAATTTTGAAATCTGAACCCCTTATGCGCCTTTAAACTTGCCAAATTTCAAATTTAAAGGAACATAGTCATGATTATATTCATTTTGAAGCTCTAAACCTGCAAAGTGGAAAAATCAAAAAAAAAATTCGAAGTTCGCCAAAGAAAGTCGCCAAAGAAAACCGAGGTACGGTAGTTTGAAATTTTAGGTCCACAATTTTTTAATAAACCAATATTTCAGAAAACTAGGTCATGTTTATATTTGTTCTAAAGCTCTCAGCGACCTAATTTCAGAAAATTCAATTTCAATGAGGATTACTGTAACTCACGTTCGATGAGTGCCTCGCTCTGTCGTTTAGTCATCATTCGATTCTGTTCGATAACATTGACAACCAGCAGATAAGAACTTTTGGTTTCTCGATCCAACGGTCCGTTGGTGTAGATTTGACCACTTTGTGAATCGATTTCAAATTCTTCTGGAAAAATTCCTAATTGTGATTACTGTAGAATTACTGTAGCTTACTGGTCTGTGTGTGGAATGCGTATCTAAACTTTTGTTGTCCATTTTGGCATCCCGCTTGGACCCGAATTACGGCTTCATGGGGATTCGAATTCTCTTTCATTTGAGCTCTGTACACTTTTTGTAAAAATTGACAATAACTTGATTGAAGAGGTGGTCCGGCGGATGATAGACGGCCTTCCACGTAGATTGGAAGCTGAAAGTTTGATTTTAAATTGTCATCTTTAAAGGCGCATATCTCGAATCTTTGTGTCGATTTACGAGGTTTTTAAACCCGATATTGTATCGAACGAAATCAATTTCTTTGAATTTAGTGGGATTTTCAGAATAAAATTCAGATTTCTTGGTAACATTTTCGTCGCTAGAATTTTTCGAATTTTTTCAAATTGAAAACTCCAAGCTTAATTGCGAAAGTCGCTCAAACGAGACAAGAATCTGTAATAGAGCGACGGCATTCAAATTTTGAGGTGCCAGTTTTTTTTCAAAATTAGACAATTATTCAATCAAAACAACAGGAAAAAAAACGACTGAAAATCAAAGGAGATAGTCAAAGGGGCACTTCAATTAGAGGGAGCACTTCTAATACAGGTTTAACGGTATCTTCCTTAGGTTTTGAGGTTTATCGTTCTGAATCAAACTAAAGCTGAAATTTCGATTTTTCGTGTTTTTATCTTAAAAGGCGCATATCTCAACATCCAAAAATTTTATCAAAAACTTGTCACAAAAACATAGAACATAAAATTTTCAACATTTTATCAGCTGACATATTTGTGATAACTCTTACAGGAGCCAAGATATAGTTCTTTGAATCTTGGGAGGTGAGAGACACGCGCTTGTCCCGCTAGCTGTCTGCAACTCTCAGCCAGGGGGAGCCGCGACTATGGCTACATTGAAAGCTGTGTATCTCTGCTCCTGTTAATGTTATCTCGAAACTGTAAACTAGGAAAATGTGTAAAATTGTATTTTCCACATTTTTGTAATAAACAGTTTTTGAATATCATTTTTGGTTTCTGAGATATATCTTTTTGAATTTATCTAATCCTAGAAACCAGATTCCGCGTTTCTCCCTTTTCCAAGAGCTTTATCTCGGCTCTTGTAAAAGCTATCACAAAATTATAAACTAACAAAATGTGTAAAATTTTATGTTCTACATTTTTACATTTGACAAAATTTTTATAGCTAACTTGGTTTTTGAGATAGAGCGCGTTTACTGAAGCATACACAAAACGTTCAAAAACACTCACCACAGTGGAATCCGATCCCTTACTATTCTCCGCTGTCACATTCAACTGATGAACCTTTCCAGCTTCGTTATCCATTGGTCGTCTAGTTAGGATCAAAGTTCCATCCCTTCGAATTTCAAATAATCCACCAACAGTATCTCCAAGTCGATAGATCACCGTTTCCTGCCCATCAGGAATAGAAGGTCCTGCCACGAAATGATAGATTTCAGTTCCAGGTGACATTTGGGTGGATACAGTAACCTTTTGGAGATCCTTAACGAGCACTGGTGGAGTTTTAGCGTCAAAGAGTTGGACCTTCAGGAACGTGTCAGTCTTCAGCGGGGGCTTTCCAGAGTCCTGAACACTAATCTTGAGTTCCTGGTACTCTGGAGCATTGCTCAGCTCTTTTTCGACTCTAATTAGACCCTCCTTTGAGTCGATCGAGAAGAAATCCAAGGGTTCTATAGAGTAAACTAGGGAATTTTGAAGATCAGCATCGTCAGCCTTTAGTTGGATGATTGGAGATCCAACGTAGGCGGATTTAGAGATTCCAACGGATTCTGGATGCTTCTCGAACTTCGGATAGTTGTCATTCACATCTAGAATCGTCACGTTGAGTCTGGCCCTAGCGATTTCATTGGTTCCATCTGATCTAGCCAGGATGGTGAAGAGATAGGAGTCATGCTTCTCTCGATCCGCTTCAAACATGATAAGCTTCCCTTCAGGGGTTAGGAAGAATGGCAGATGCGATGTGGTGTCTTCAATGGAGTACTTGACTGAGGATCCTGTGGTTTCTAGCCGTGGCCGAATTTCCAGCTCAATTCCAGATTGATAATTGCCCTCGAGGGAGTAGGCTGTGTAGAGAGGAAATGTGAAATGGAATTGAGCAGAGGTGGGAACATCTAGAGGGATGATATGGGCGGTTACTGCTTGGGTTGGGATGTCGAGGGGAGCTAGGGTGGCTTCTGATGGTTGGGGTGGTTGTAAGGTGCTGATTGTTGGTAAAGTAGGTAGGGATGAGGTTTTGGAAGGTTCCTCTGTTTCAGAAGGATTCTCTGGGACCAGTGTAGGAGCAATGGTTCTTCTGGGCTCCTCCGGCGTTCTTGAAGTTGGGGCCTTCGTTGTTAGAGGAGCTTCTGAACCTTTTGAAGTGCTTGGCTGCTCTGTGGAAGCTTCTGGAGATGTGGAAGCTTCTGTAGAACTTGACTCTTCTGTAGAAGGACCTCCTTCCACCTTCTCCACTCCCACAAACACCCTCGTCTCGGCTAGAATCTCACTTCCTCGCATCGCAATCACCACATCATTAATCGTGGTCTCGAACGGCTTCATTACAGTAACCCTGCCCTCAGAATCAATCGATAAATGCTCTCCACTGATAAAACTATACTCGATATCTTCATTTTTGGGGGTTCCATTAGGTTTGACGGTTCCCACAATTGATCCAACTGGAAGGCCAGCAGCGACTCTCCAGGAATACACATTTTGGGAGAATTCAAAGGTTCTCGAAGCTTCTGTGGTGGTTCCTGCCCTTCCTAGAGTTCCCATTGTGACCTCATTATCCATTTGCTCCTCGGCCAATACTACCGTAACCTTTACATTCACAAACGATGACATTATTGGGTCGGCTCCTCGATCCTCCGCTACAACCAGAAAACTGTATCTGGGTTGTTCGAGTTTCCCTTGTACAGTAATCCTTCCAGAATGGTCCACGTGGAATAGATTACGGTATTCGGTGGGTTCTATCGAATAGTCTATTAGATCTTGGTCCGGATCCGAGGCTTCAACCTTTCCGAGTTCTGTAGCGTTTTGGGAAATTGAGAAGAGATATTCGGGTGCGGCAAATGTTGGAGCATGGTTTGGAGTGGGAGGTCTGAAATTTACATTTTTGAATTTTCCTTGCCAAAAGCTTCAAAATGAGCCCAAACTCGACTAAGTTCCTTTAAATTTGAAATTTCAAGTTTAAAGGCGCATAGGGTGTCCGGTTTGTGGGAGTCAAGGAAAGTAGGTCATGATTATACTCATTATAAAAAGTTTCTCAAGACAAGTCGATTTAACTATTTTATATCAAATCTGAAGCAAAATGAAAGGAGATACGGTAGTTTTTCACTTTTCGTGGTGGAACCCAAAGTTTTAATACGACCATAACTTATTCAGTTTTTGTTTAATTAAATATTTTGTTTAATATTTGAATTTGTGCCGTTAAGTGCTTCAAAATGAGTATAAACATGACTATGTTCCTTCGAATTCTAAATTTCGATTTAAAGGCGCAAAGGGGGTCCGAATTTTGAAAATAAAAAAATTAATGAAAAATATGTCATGATTATACTCATTTTGAAGCTCTAGACACGCTGAACAATAATTTAAATTAACATTCAATTTGAAGAAAAACTGAGAGAGTTATGCTACTTTAACAAATGTTTGACTTTAAATTCAATCTACCGTATCTCCTTTGAGCCCAAATTTTTAACTTTTTTGATTTTTGTGTTTGACATGTTAAGAGCTTCAAAATGAGTATAATCATGAATATGTTCCTTCAAGTTTGAATTTTCGACTTTAAAGGCGCATAGGGGGTCAAAATTTGAGACTTCTCAAAAGTAGGTCATGTTTATACTCATTTTAACGCCCTTAACCCACAAAATTCAAAAATTAGAGAGTTTTGAAGTTTGGACCAGAGTGAACCGAGATACGGTAGTTTTACGAATAACTAGGTCATGATTACACTCATTTTTAAGCTCTAATCGCGCTAAATTAAAACATTTAAACGAAACTCACTTAGTACTTGCTGGATTAACAGTTAATCTCAATGTAGTATCACTGCTATGCTCTCCATCACTCGCCACAACAACACAAATCACATTTCCATGGGTTCGTTGATCTTCAGCCACTTTATATGACACTTTTCCCTTGTTATCTATTTGGAATTGTCCCTCACATGGGTCTCCTTGAAGTGAGAATTCAATTTGATCATTTTCAGAGTCCATTGCTTGAATTGTAACAATCGGAAAAGCAATTGGAATGTCGAATGGAATAGTTCCCGAATATTCATCCTTTGTGAATCGGGGTGCTTGATTTTTGGCTCCTGTCACATGTACCAAAACCTCTGCAACACTTGTTCTCTGACTTCTTTCATCCTTTGCTTCAATTTGTAGGGTGTACTGTAGATTACGGTCTAGTTCTGACACAATGCGAAGCTTGGCTTTTCCTTCTGGCAAGTGTACGATATCGAAATGTCCATTTGGATCTCCTCCAATGATTCTGAAGTGCACTTCGGATTCTGCCGATGCTCTTAAATCGAAACTCTCCGTCGTGCCCTCAGTAACGTTCCAGATAAGAGGTTGGCCGAGAAATAACGGTGGAGATTCGGAGGATTCTGGAGAATCCCCATCAATGTACACGATGACATGGGTGGAATCCTGAAAAGTTTTAGCTCAAGTGGGACGTTGAAAATGAGCTTTATACAAAAATGTAGCCTTTCAAATTTCACACATTTTTTTAAGTTGACAATTATTAGATAGTGTTAATACTAACAAAGATATAATGCTTCAAAGATAGAAAGCCACTCCCTAGAACTAGGCTGTAGAAAACGCGCTCCATCTCAAAAACAAAGTTAGCTATCAAAATTTTGTCAACTACAAAATTGTAGAGCACAAAATTTGCACATTTTTGTTAGTTACAAGTTTTGTCATAGCTCTCACAGAAGCCGAGATAAAGCCGTTTAAATATTGGAAGAGGAGAGATGCAGACAGTTAGGCGCGCTATCTGTCAGCGTCTCCTGGCCACAAGGAGCGGTGCCAAGAGTACGCTAACTCAAAGCTATGTATCTCAGTTTCCGTTAAAGCTATCTAAAAACTGTTAATTAGAAAAATATGTAAAATTTTAGGCTTCACATTTTTTTAGTTAATATAACTTTGATAGCTCTAATAGTTTTTAAGATAGAGCGCATATTTCAGAAGGGAGGCTAGCTGTCTGCGTTTCCTGGCGCAGAGGGAGCGGCACGTGTTAACCCTAATCTTTGAACCATTATATCTTTGTTCCTATTAAAGCTATTTCAAAACTATCAACTAACAAAACATGTAAAATGTTGTGTTTTACATTTCTGTAGTCAAGCAAATTTTGATAACTCATCTGGTTTTTGAGATAGAGTCTTTAGAAAATAGGTTACCTGACTTCCTTCAGAGCTAACTTGAAGCATTTTTGAGTTCAAACTTACATGATTCCCATTCCTATCCACAGCTTCAATGATTAAATCAAACTCATCCATTGAATCTGGAATCCTCTCATCACCCACAATAATCGTTCCGTCTTCTTGAATAAACACCAGCTTCCTTCCCGATCCTCCGACGATTCGATAAATCAATCGATTCTTCTCACTAACGTCTCTATCATGTGCCTGAACTCTTCCAATCCTCGTTCCCGGTCCAGAATCATCTCTTTCCAGAGACATTTCCACGTCATCCTCATCGAATTCTGGCTGGAATTCGTTAACGTCTCGAATCGCGATTTGTACTCGACATTTGGCATATTCATTGGAATCTGACGCTGTTACAGTAAACTCCTGATTTAAGGAATCTTCTAGAGCCTCCGCGTCAACTGTCTCTGCCAAGTAGAGAGTTCCATTTTGATGGATTCCTAGGAAAGAGTCAGATGGGGAGATGGTGAATTTGGAAGCAGTGGAACCGGTCTGAAAATTTCGGGTTACTGTATTCTCTTTTGAATTTTTGATTTACCACTGAAATCGTTCCAATCGCTTCTCCTTTCTCTAAATTCTCATAAACCTCAAAGTTGTAGGTGGACTGTTGGAATCGAAGTGTCGGATTGGTAGTAGAAATTGGGGTGATGGCTACCTGTAATTAGAAATTTTCTAGTAGAAATGCACAAAAAAGTGTGTTGCATAAAACACACTCTATCTCAAAAACCAAGCTAGCTATCAAAATTTTGTTAACTACAAAAACGTAGAGCATAAAATTTTACACATTATTTTAGTTAACAATTTTTAGATAGCGTTTACAGTTAACGTGCCCTAGGCGCCGCTCCCTCTCGCAAGGAGACGCAGACAGCTGGTGCGCCTAACTCAGTAAACGAGCTCTATCTCAAAAACTAAATTTGCTATCTAAATTTTGTCAACTAAAAAAATGTAGAACATAAAATTTTACACATTTTTTAGTTTAAATTTCTGTGATAGCTCTTACAGAAGCCGAGATATAGCCGCTTGAATATTGGAAGAGGAGAGCCAAGGCGCACTAGCTGTCTGCGTCTACTGGGCTCATAGGGCGCTTTAACTTTGAAGCGCTGTATCACGGCTTCTCTAAGAGCTAATGTGAAAGTCAAAACTACAAAAATGAGTAAAATTTTATACTTTACATCCCTATAACTAACAACTTTTTTATCGCGTTTGTCATTCAAAAGATATGAGCCTTTAAAGATTTCTCATGTCTATTCCTTGGCGCAGAGATTTGCTTTTTTTTTAAAGGAGCATATTTCCAAATTCAAGAGTGATATCAAAATTTTGTCAACCCCACAAATGTAGCCCTTAAAATTTCACACATTTTGTCAGTTAAAGTTTTTTTGATAGCTTTTACAGGAGCCGAGATAAAGCAGTTCGGACATTGGCAGCCGAAAGCCGAGAGGAGGCGCAGGCAGATAGTCGCACGAGCAGTCTGCGTCTACTGGGCTCATAGGGCGCGTTAACTTTGAAGCTCTGTATCACGGCTCCTCTAAGAGCTACCACGAGAGTCAAAACTAAAAAAATGTGTGAAATTTTATCTCATACACTTTTGTAGTTAACAATTTTTAGATATCACTTTAGAGCGCATTTTTCAGAAAAAGTCTTTGTCTCCTTGGCGCGCTAACTTCAAATCTATGTACTCAGCTTCTATCAGCGCTATTAAAAAATACTAAACTACAAGAATGTGTAAAATGTTATACTTTATATTTTTGCAGTTAGTAACATATTGATGGCAATTTTGAATATTGAGATACAGTCTCTACAAAAAAAACTCACTCCAACATCCGAATAAAACTTGTTTGCCTGCATATTAACTGCACGGACGACAACAAAAGTAGTCTCTCGATTGGTTTCTGGAAACTGTGACGTCACGAAGAGCTCTCCAGTTTTATCATCCAAATAGAATCCTTTTGGTGCTGGAGACGGTGGGAAGAAGGTGTATCTCAGTGAGCCGGAACCTAATTTTGCATTGAATTGATGAACGACCCTTGGGAAGTGTCCATCTGTGGAGACATCGAAATCATATGTCAATTGAGGGAATACAGGGTATTTGTCTCTATCCGACATGACGATTACTTTCAATTGATGGTCCACATGGGCAGTGTCGGTTTCTGCACGAATCGAGAGAACTGATTCGCCTTCGATGAGATGATTGGCGACCTGAAGGAAATTTGGAACTGACACAATTTTTTCAATTCTTGTTCAATCCTCAATTTGTTTTTTTTTTGATTTGGCACATTTGGAGCTTCAAAATGAGTATAATCACGACTAGGCTCCTCAAAATTTTGAAAATTCGACTTTAAAGGTGCATAGGGGTCCAGATTTTAAAAATCAAGGAAAGTAGGTCATGATTATATTCATTTTGAAGCTCTTGACAAAATAGATCTAACACTATTAATTTCGATTGAAAATTCTGAAAGCTTAGTGATTTATAAAGTTTTCAAAGTTTTAGAAGAAAAAAAAATGTCGAAATCGGTTTACCACATAATCTCCCTAGTTTTGTTCCATATCGAACAAAATTTGAATTTTCGAGTTTACCACATAAAAAGCTTCAAAACAAGTATACTCAGGAGTATGTTCCTTTAAAATGAAATTTCCGATTTTAAAGGAGCATAGGAGTATCTAAAATTTATGTGTTTAAAATTTTGAGGACTACGAAACCTGTGTTTCAAAAGTTTAATTTTTGATTTTGAGCCAAAATACGGTGCCGCTCACAAATCAATTCTGTAGTAGAAGACCCCTTTTACTGCCGCTCAATTTATCTCGGTTACTGTAAGAGATATCAAAAGGTAGTCGACTAAGAAGATGTTTCTGATAACAAGATTAGCATTTTATCAATTGACAACTTTTCAATAATTCACCCCAGAAACAAGATAAGAGCAACTTACCCTCAACAAGTCTCCATCCATAACAAATTGTGAGTTCTCTTGCAACGCTCTGAACTTGATATTCTCATTATCAGTGGAAACGGCGGATACTCGAAGGATAACACTTCCAACAGCCTTCTCTGTCGAGATATAAACCGTAGTTGGTAGTGGAAGGAATTTGAGAGTTTTCGAATCGATAATATCGATTTTAAGGATCGTCTTGATTTTCCTCTTCAAGTTCTTTCCATTATCAGTCGCCTCAATTCCCAATTCAATCGGTCCATCTTCCAAACTCAATGGAACAATCGCCGAAACAACTCCAGTCTTCGAATTGATCATAAACTTCCGATGATCCTCGTTATCAGCTCTTAACAATTTATAAGTGACTAATCCCTCCATTCCTGGATCCGGATCCGTTGCATGGACCTCTCCAATCACTTGTCCTGCTCTGATTGGTGATGCTATCACTGCTTTATACTCTTTTTGATCGAATGCTGGTGGTGATGGATTTGTGCCTTTCACGACTACAGTAACCTCTGCAGAGTCCATTCGTTTTGGAATCCCTCCGTCGGATACAGTAACTAGCAGAGTGTAGAGAGGGTTTGTGAGCGATTGAGATGTTGTGATTTGAGCGGTAATTGGGTCGATTGAGAAAGTGTCTGGAATATTTTTTAAGTTTTTGGTTTTAGTTTATTGAGCTGATCGGTCCGAATAAGCTAAATATCTCAGCCGCGTTTTAGCCAATTTGCTCGAAATTTTAACTTTTGAATTTGCCATTCACAGAGCTTCAAAATGAGTATAATCATGACTATACTCCTTTAAACTTGAAATTTCGACTTTCAAAGCGCATAAGGAGTACGGACATTGAAAATCAAAGTCATAATTATACTCATTTCGAAGCGCAGTTTACAACAAACAAGATAATATAAATTTCATAAAATTTGAAACTAAACTGACTGAACAACGGTAGTTTGAAATTGTGCCTCTAAAATTGGAACTACAGATGTAGTTAGTTTCAAGCGTTATATCTCAATAACCGTAATAGCTATAACAAAACTTTAAACTACAAAAATGTGTAAAATGTTAAGAACTACATTTTTGTAGTTGTCAATTCTTTGATAACGTTTACCGTTTTTGAGATACAGTTAGTTCTTTAAGAGCAAGTCACATTTACATTAAATGCCGTATTTAAGCTCCTATTTAAGCTATCAAACTTTTTTCAACTGGTCAACTCTTTAGAATTGAATTTCAAACTTTGCAAAATTTCATATTTTTGACCATTCCTCTCGAGAATTCAAAAAACCTACCTTGATTCGAGTCCAACGAAAACACCAATTTGCTGTTGTTTCCAGAATCGGCATCCTTTGCGAAAAGCTTCACAATTTTTGTGCCTGGTGGCACGTCACTTTCCACAGTAGCCTCTAGTTTTCTATTTGCAAAAACTGGAGAATTATCGTTGACATCGACGACTTCTACGATGACATCACTCGTAGAACAGATGGTCTGAGTGAGGCAAGCACGGACCTGAAAGAAAAATGATTTATCTTGTGAATCAATTGAGATAGAGATTTGAAATTTGTTAGGAAAATGTGGAGCAAAAATTTCTATACATTTTTCTAGTTAACAGTTTTTTGATAGCTTTGCTGGTTTTTGAGATATTCGCGCTTGAAAGAAGTAGCACATTTCCGTCTTCCTATTTTTCCTCTCTCTCCCCCTTTTCTCTCGCCTCCTGCGCCTCTCCTCGCGCCACCTGCAAACCCCCTCTTTCTTATACGCACTCCACTCCTGTCTTCTTTGTGGCCGCCATAGCTCAGTCGGTTAGAGCGTGGGTCTAATAAGCCCAAGGTCGCAGGTTCGACCCCTGCTGGCGGCAAATTGTTTTTTCTTTTTTAACTGCTCACCTGGAATCGATAAAACTTCTTTTGCTCCGTATCCAATGGCCTTGAAGTGCTAACTTCTCCCGATTGCTCATGGATTTCGAATGGGAGCTCGTCAATGTGAGCAGGAGCGATTAGGGAATAGGTTAGACGGACGGATTCAGAAGAGGAGAGTGCCGAGTGGAACGCCTGAAAATCAACTTATGGGATTATCTGAAAAACTAGAAGAGATAAAAGAAAACTGTTAACTGCAAAAATGTAGAGCTTGAAATTTTTAACATTTTCTCAATTAGAATATTTTTAAAATTATCGAAAATTCGAAAGTTATGACTGTTTTTAAGTCGTGTGCAAGATTAGGCGATAATTAGCTTCAAAATAGGGTTCGTGATGAATTTTCAACTAGAAAAAAAGTGTGAAATTTTTCGATCTACATGTTGATTTTTATAAAATATATAAAATTTGAAAATTTGAAAAGTTACCCTGACAAAACCAATAACTTCCGGTTGTTGATTTTCGTTGATCGAGAATCGATAAGTGTCTCGATCGAAACGCGGCATTGCTGACATAACATCTCGATTCGCGTCTCGAAGTACAGTAACCTGAGCGCGAGCCTGGAAATTTTGAATTTGAGTCTTAATTAGTCAATTTTTTAACTATTTGAATGATTTTCTTACCCAATTAGGCCAAATCGCCATGAAAAGTAACAAAATAAGGACATTTGGGGTCATTTAGCGGCATGTGTGATTTCCCCTTATGACACGTGGCAAATTTTCATGTAGAATGCGGTTAGGAATCTGGATTTTGTTAGGTTAATCGGTTACAGAGAAGAGTTTGTTGAAGAAAAAGAGGTGGGTAAAGAAAATCAAGGATATCTCAAGAAGAAGCAACGATAGCAAAAAATAACAAACTACAAAAATGTGAAACTTAAAATTCTACACATTTTGTTAGTTGACAACTTTTTGATAACTACAAAACTAAGCAAGATGCGGTAGATGGAAATTGGAGGGGGGTAGAACAGTTAGATAAAAGAGGTAGGTGAAGAAAATAGTGAATATCTCAAGAACAAGGAACAATAGCAAGAAATAATTTTTTAAAGAAGTGTAGAGCATAAAATTTTACACACTGTATTAGTTTGCAACTTCTTGCTAGCTATAAAGCTTAGCGAGATACGGTAGCTGGAAGTTAAGGAGCAAAAATGGTATGGGAGGCAAGGAAAAAAGAGGGTGGCAATTTTTGAAAAACCCGATTTTCAAGATTAAAATTTACAATTTGTAGGTTTTTCGGGAAAAACCACTTTTCAGATTATTTGCGATTTGAAAATATCAAAAGCTTTAAAAAAAATTTTTTTCATTTTTTTTCAAAATTCAAGAATTTCTAGAAAAAACAAACCCCAAAAAACAAAAATCCTGGTATCTCTGCTAAACATTAAATCCAGAAAAAAAGAGTACATAATTACCTTTGCCTTTAGTATGTGTCCCCCGGTTTTTCTATGCTTTGCACCTGTCCCCCCAACGAGAGAGAAGAGGGTGCAGACTTTAAAGAAACTTCTAGAGGTTATATCTCAAGTAAGAGTCAGGATAGAGCTAAACTACAAACTACAAAAATGTAGAGCATAACATTTCACACATTTTGCTAGTAGACAGTTTGCAGATAGCTTTGTTGGTTTTTGGGATATAGCGACTTGAAACAAATTGGCACCAAAAAGAGAGAAAAGGAGCAGATGTGGAACGGGACAGGCTCCGCCCACTTTCTCAAGAAAAACGAGAGAGTGTAGGGAATAAGGAGACGCAGATAGTGTGCAAGGTGTAGACACCTGTTGCCATGGGCGGAAATAATAAGAAGAACCAGAGAATACGAAATTTCTAGCAAACAAGAAAAAGAAAAAAAACTGGATTTTTAGGAAAATTTTCCGAAAAACGAGAGGATAACAAGATAAAATGTAAAAATTTTCAGATTAGGCACGTTTCAAGCTTTAAAATGAGTATAATCATGACTATGTTCCTTTAAATTTGAAATTTCGACTTTAAAGGCGCATGGGGGTCCGGATTTTGAAAATCAAGAAAAGTAGGTCATGTTTATACTCATTTTAAAGCACACTTTACAAAAAATAAGATAATGTAAGTTTCATGTAATTTGAAGTGAAACTTGCCGAGTTAGGGTGGCTTCTGTGAAATTTTGCAATTTGGAGACTTGAAAAAACTACCGTGACTCGTTTAATTTCACTCTGACCCTGTCAGGATTTATGTAATCTCATTTGTTGTTTTATAAGCTTTAAAATGAGTATAAACAAGGTCATGTTCCTTTAAATTTGAAATTTCGACTTTAAAGGCGCATAGGGGGTCCGGATTTTGAAAATTAAGGTAAGTAGGTCATGTTTATACTCATTTTGAAGCTCTTAACAAAGCAAATTCGTTAGTTTTGATTGAAAAATTCTCGAAAATAATATATTTATATCGTTATTAATGTTTTTGATGAAAAATCCTAGAAAACCACTTAACATCATAACTTTCTTAGTTTTGCTTCAAATCTAACAAAACTCAAATTTTTGAGCTTTTTACTTTCTAAGATTCAAAATAAGTATAATCATGACTATGTTCTTTTAAACTTGAAGCTTCAGGTTTAAAGGCGCATAGGGGGTCCAAGTTTTGAAAGTCTAGGAAACTAGGGCATGATTATACTCATTTTGAAGCTCTTAACTAGCCAAATTGTATAAAATAGTTTTCAGGAAAATGCGATGAAAATTGAAAGAGATGTGGTAGATTGTTCTCTTCAATAATTTAGAGCTAGGTTAAGTCTCAACAAAACAAATGTTTCTAGAACAATTTCTCTATTATCGTATTACTTTGTACACATTGTTTTTGCGGTAAATCATTGTCTCTCAGGAAATAGAGACAAGGGTGAATACATAATAACATATGTCTACATAAAACCAATTTATTAAAAATGTGACAGGAGAGTGACGTAACGAATGACCCTTCTTAAGAGAAGGGATAATTATTCGGACACCCCTCTCACGGACCCTCTTCTCCGTTTTATGGCTTCTAGTGTCTACCTGGATATAGAGGATCCCCTTTGAAGGACACATGATGCATTAGATATTAGATGGAGACATGCAAGGACATGAAAGCTTTTGAATACCTCAAGGGGGCAGGAATTTTTGCATGAAACTGCATTTTTTGAATTTGCCTTGTTGAGAGCTTCAAAACGAGTATAATCATGACTATGTTCCTTTAAATTTGAAATTTCGACTTTAAAGGCGCATGGGGGGCCTAGATTTTGAAAATAAAGAAAAGTAGGTCATGCTTATAATCATTTTGAATAATTTCAAATAAAAATTTTGGTAAGATCGTTTTCAAAAAGTTGCAACCAAAAATTAACGAGTTACGGTAGATTTAACTTACCTAAAAAATCCTGGACCCCTATGTGCCTTTAAAGTTGTGCCCATTTCAAACTTAAAGGAACATAGCCGTGGTTATACTCATTTTGAAGCGCTTCCTCTACAAAACAAGAAAATCTAAAAAGTTTTAGAATTTACACAAAAACTGAAATAGTTATGGTAGTTTGAAAATTATCATTATCTTGAAAAATAAATCAGTTAAATCTACCGTAACTCGCTTAAAATCGATTTGAATGTGCTAGAATTAATATGATCTTATAAGGTTTGTTCAGAGCTTTAAAATGAGTATACTCATGACCTACTTTCCTGGATTTTTCAAATCTGGACCCCCGTATGCGCCTTTAAAGTCGAAATTTCGAAATGGGAGGAGTCTAGTCATGATTACACTTATTTTGAAGCTTGTTTAACAACAAACAAGATAATATGCTACCCGAGTTACTGTAGTTTCAAAATTTCAGATTTTTTTTACAAAAGCAGTTGTAACTCGGCAAGCTTTGAAGTCAAGAATGAGCAACGACCCCCGTAACTTGGTTACTTTTTGCTCAATTTTTATGAAATTTATATTTTTCAATTTAACTTGTTAAGAGCTTCAAAATGAGTATAATCATGACCGATTTTCCTTGGTTTTCAAAATCCGGACCCGCCATGCGCCTTTAAAGTCGAAACTTCAGGTTTAAAGGAACATAGTCATGATTATACTCGTTTTGAAGCTCTTCACACGGCAATTTCAAAAATTGAAGTTTCAAGCTGTCTGGTGAAGAACTTTTTGTAAATTGCAACTGTGTAGCTTGCACTAAAAGCTGTCTGTTCCACTAAAAAAAAAGAGCTAAAAGGTTCTCTCTATTCAACCGAAAATTGAAAAAGTGCATCTATGAACACATGTATACATATGTATATAGAAAATTCTGAATAATTCAAAATTGTCGTCTGCAGTTTCCATGCCCCGGAAAAGGTATTAACGACTACTAGAGAGGGGGGGGGGGGGAGGACATCAAGAATCTTAGAAATTTGAACAAATTTTGACTTGAAAAGATAAGGATTAGCAATCAATTCAAAAGTTGGGTTGAACACATTTTGTATATTTTTGAACTCAGAACGCTAAAAAGCTTATCAAGGAGTATAATCCTATAGGAAAAATCCCCATAACATTCTCAATTTTGTTTTAACTTGCTTCAAACTAATATTTTCTGTTTTGGCACGTTTTAAGCTTTGAAATGAGTATAATCATGACTAGACTCCCCCCACTTTGAAAATTCGACTTTAAAGGCGCATAGGGGGTCCATATTTTGAAAATCAATGGAAGTAGGTCATGATTATACTCATTTTGAAGCTCTCAGCAAGATAAATCTATTTAAAATGATTGGATCAAAATTTTTGAAAATTCAGGGATTAATGACCTAATAAGCATTTTTGATGAAAAATCGTCAAAATCAATTAACAACATAAGTGTCTTAGTTTTGCTTCAAATCAAACAAAATTTAAAATTTTGAATTTACCACAATAAGGGCTGTAAAACAAGTATAATCATGACTATGTTCCTTTAAATTTGAAATTCGGACTTTAAAGGAGCATCGGGGTCCGGATTTTGAAAATCTACGAAAGTAGGTCATGATTATACTTATTTTGAAGCTTGTAACAAGGCAAGTTGAAATAAATAGGTTTTAATAGGCTAAATTAAATTTAGAACGAGTTATATCAAGTTTTAGTTTTGCTCCAAAACTAGTTATGCTCTAATTAAAGTCAAAATTGAAATTTTCAAAAAATTCAAAAAATCAAAATGATTTTTGGGAATTTTTTAATTGAGTGGTAAAGAAATTGGTCCGCGACGTTCGCCCGGATCATCAGAGTAGAAACACAATTCCAGGGGAAACGTGTAATTAGAGGATTAGGAGGGGAAAGAAGACCCATGGAATAAGAAAATAAACAGTTTACGGATGAGTGAGGATCAATTCAGGTGGATTTAGAATAGGAGAAAAAAAAGAAGAGAAAGAAAATAGAAGGAACACCTGAACGGAAATAGAAGACAAAGGAAAAGGAAGAGGGAAAGGAAAGAAAAATTTTGGAAAAAAAAATGATTTCAAACTTTCAAAAGCTCACAACTCGACGCATAGTTGACCAATTTTTATGGAAATTATACAAATGGATAGCAAATTTTATGCTAATTATTATGAAATTTTTTGAATGTTCAGAAAATTTAAATTTTAACGGATTTTGAAACCTTTATGACTATTAAAGCTTGTTCAACTTCTGAGCTCCTGAGCTCGGATTCGAATTCAAACTTTTACAATTTTTTCGCTCGTTTTCACGGTTTTTCGATTTTTTCAAGAGTTTTCAAGGTTTTTGTCAATTTTTCTTCCAGATATATAGGAAAATTTATGCGCTTTTACTCACCGGGCGGCCTAGAAAAAACCTCGTCCCTAAGGGCTTTCAGCGTATTTTTCGATGCGTTTTTCTCGATGAAGGAATTTTTTTGAATTTTTTTCTTTATTTTTATGTCAATCTACATGCATTTCTGCACATTTTGATGCAATAAAAAATTTCACCGTACACCACCTTTAAAACTCAAAATACAAAAGATTCTAGGGCCCAAAAGCGAATTTATAGATCAACAATGGAGTAGCGTCTATTTTCGCTCCAAAAAAGCTCAAAATGAAAAATTTTTGAAAAATTCAAAAACTCAAAATATTTGACTTTAAATTTGCTATCGATTAATGTAATTTTTAAAACAATTAATTAACTAGACGACGAGCTCCGAGCCTCAGTAATTCGGTTAACGATGCGTCTGTCGTAATCACGCCCAAAAAAGGCTCAAATCAAAATTTCTGGGAAATTCAAAATTCAATAATAATTGTCTTTAAATTTTCTATTGAGTCATATAGTTTTCAGAAAAATTGGTTTGCTAAACGCCGAGCTCTGAGCAACAAAAGTTTAATAAGCTCCCCTTCTCTTCTTTAACGATGTATCTGTTGTAATCGCGCCTTAAAAAAGCCCAAAGTTTAAATTTTTGAAAAACTCAAATGCTGAAAATATTTGTCTTAAAATTATCTATCGACTCATACAAATTTCATAAAGGTTGGTCCACTAGATCCCGAGCTTTGACAATTAGAAATTCAAAACGCGCTCTCTCCAGCCATTTAACGATGGGTCTTAACGGTGTACTGTAATAGCGCTCTAAAAATGCTCAAAATTGAAATTTGTGAAAAATTTAAAAATTCATAATAATTGTCTTAAAATTTCCTATCGATTTGAATAATTTTCTACAAATTTAGACCATTAGAATCCGAGCTCCGGAGCTCAGAAGTTGAACAAGCTTTAATAGTCATAAAGGTTTCAAAATCCGTTAAAATTTAAATTTTCTGAACATTCAAAAAATTTAAATGATCCTCATAAGATTTCGAATTGATCTATATAAATATTTCGAATATAACTCATTTCGGAACAGAGTTACAAGGCAAAAACAAAAAAAATCCTCTAAGATCTTCCCAAAGAGTAATTAAGGGGAAAATAGAAAAGGAGGAAAGGAGAAAATTGAGATTTGCGGTAGGGGCAAGCTAAAGAGACAATGACGATGAGGTGAGGCTCTTTTCGGAACACAGACACTGAGTTAATTGGCCCCACCTCATCTAATTCTTCTTTTTCTTTTTATTCCTCCTCACACCTGTCGATTTCCCTCTTTTTAGAATAACAAGGCGGCGTTTTGAAATGGCTCCTTTTTATAGTGGTAATTAAATGCCAATTAATCAATTAGCATGTTGAAAAATACCCTACTCACCGTCTCAAACCCATTCGTCGCCGACACTCCAAACTTCAATGGTCCATCCTGCCTTCGATTCAGTGTTTTTCCCGCCAAAATTTCACCGGCGTCGTTGATTTTAATTAGGCCAATTACCTGGAAATTTTCTATTCTTATAAGTATGTAAATTCCATTTAAACCGTTTCTCTACAGCTCAAGTTTGAGTGGAGTTAAACGGAAAAAATGTTCTCAACTTTTAAAAAGTTTTATCTCAAAAACCAGATTAGCTATCAAAATATAATCAACAGCAACAATGTAGAGCACAAAATGTTACACATTTTATTAATTTAAAGTTTTTTGATAACTCTAAAATGAGCCGAGATATAGCGCTTTGAATATTAGGGGGCGAGAGACAACGAGGAGGGTGCCTGCGTCTCCGCCCTTCCCGTTGCCTCTCGCTCTCACCTCTTGCGGTCTCGCGGGCGCCTCCAGGGGCTTTAACTTAAACGTTTTGTATCTCGGCTCCTATCAAAGATATCAAAACGTTGTCAACTAAAAAAATGTGTAAAATTTCATTTTCTATAGTTTTGTGGTTGACAAAATTTATGTAACTAACTTATTTCTTGAGATATGCGCATTTAAAGATTGCCTGTGTATGCTTCCTGTGGCTGTTGCATGCGTTGTTTAGATGCGCATATCTCTAAAACTAAAATATCTATCAAAAAGTTGTCAACTAAAAAAATGTGTGAAATTTAATTTTCTACATTTTTGTAGTTAACAACTTTTTAATATCTTTGATAGGTGCCGAAATACAGCGCGTTGAAGTTAGGACATCAATATTTACCTCTCTATCAACTGCATAAAACTCGACATTTGGTCCGGCTTCGACTTTTCCAATAACATCATTTTCCCGAATTTCCATTCCTAACGCGTCATAAATGTACTCAGATTGCGGGAATGAGAATACTGTAGATGTTGGAGGGGGTGGAGCTTGCTCATCTTCCGATTCTTCTGATTCTGGCTCCTTGATGGTGTTGGAGGGTGGTGTAGTGGATCCTGGACGGTTTTCTGGAGCTCCTAGAGCTTCTGAATCCTCAGATGAGGCATCTGAATCCTCTTCTAGAGTTTCTGGAGTTTCCGAATCTTTGGATTCGTTTTCAGGAGTTTCTGGAACTTCTGAACCCTTTGATTCTTCTTCTGGTGCGGTTTCAGCGTCTTTTTCAGAGTCCTTGGCGTCGTCTGAATCTTCTGCTTCTTCCGAATCCTCTTTCACCGTCGTTCTGACCACAGATTCTTCAGAAGGCACTTCAGAAGTCGTCGTTCTCACTGGAACCTCCTCTTCCTCCTCCTCAACGACGACTTCCACGATTTCAGTGACCACTTCGACGTCTTCTTCTTCTGGAACCTCTTCAATCTTCTGCTCCACCGTCTTCACGCCCTCCACAACTGGTTTCTCCTTGACTCCGCCCACTTTTTTGGCTCCGCCCACTCCTCCTCCCAACACAAATATCTCAACTGGAACTTTTGCCACTTTAACCACTTCCTCTCCATGATCTCTTGCTTCCACCGTCAAATTATACAACCCGATTTCTTTATCGATTTTTCCGGTACTCATGATTATTCCTTTTTTACCGGTGGTCCCCACTTGGAATGGTACATCTGGCGTCAGCAAGTGATAGGTTATTTGACCGTTGGAGCCCTGGAAGTTGGTCATTGGATTTTAAAAGAATTACAAATAGGTTTAGCAAGTTAAGGGCTTTTAAATAAGCCTAAACACGACTAGGACCCGCCCAATTTGAAAGTTGGCAAACTTAAAGGCGCATAGGGTCCCAAATTTCCAAATTTCTAAAATTCAAAAAAGTAGGTCATGATTATACTCATTTTGAAGCTTATTTTACAACAAAATCAACTATTTAAATTAAAAATAAAAACTTTGAAAACTGGCAGAGTTATGGTTAAAACAATATTTTACAAAGTAATTTCGGAATATTTGTTTTGACCATAACTTTGATAATTCACAGAATTCTTCTTTAAAATATATTGAATCGCGTTTGTCACTTTAAGAGCTTCAAAATGAGTATAAACACGACTAGGCTCCGCCCACTTTGAATATTGACTTTAAAGGCGCATGGGGTCCAAACTTGGGGTCCAAACTTTGAAAAGGAATAGAAAGTAGGTCATGATTATACTTATTTTTAAGCACTTTGCAAAACACAACCAAAACTAAAAAATGCATTGAAATTCAGCAAAACTGGCAGAGTTGCAGTGATTTTAATGACATTGCTCATGCTTGACTTCAAAGTACCATAACTCAGTTCATTTTTGTCCAGGTGTGATTTTAAAAACAGTTTTAAAATTGGTACATTGAGAGCTTCAACATAAATATAAACATGCTTTACTTTTCTTATTTCTCAAAATTTGGACCCCTATGCGCCTTTAAAGTCGGAATTTCAAATTTAAAGGAACATAAGCATGACTATACTAATTTTGAAGTTCTCAACATACAAAATTCAAAAATCAAACAATTTTGAGGTTTGGGTCAAATTCAACCGAGATACGGTAGTTTCAATTTTTCAAAAATTCGAAAAATGGAATACTGTACCTGATCAATATCCTGAGCGAGCACTCTACCAATTTCTCTGCCTGGCGGGAAGTTTGGATCAATATGGAAGAAATAATGCTCATTTTCGAAAACCGGTCGATTATCATTCTCATCTTCCAAATCAACATAAACCCTGATTCGTGTACATTGTGTTGTTGGGTCGGCATTCTGAAAGTACCGTAATCCTTTGAAAATACAGTAATTTGATTTATTGCTCACCTGAATCTCTGCAACCAATTCCAACGTGTTGAATAACTCTCGATCGACAAGTTTTGGGTCGAGAACTACCACTTCATCAGTGTCCTCGTCGATTGTAAATGTGCCATCTGGATCGATGAGGCGAATTTTGGTAGTCTGAGATTGTTACAGTAAGATTTACCTTGCAAATTGCTTCAAAATGAGTATAATCATGACTATGTTCCTTTAAAATTGAAATTTTGAATTTAAAGGCGCAAGTTTGAGAAAGTGGGTCATGATTATACTCATTTTAAAGCACGTTTCATGACAAACAAAATCATATAAAAATCATAAAATTTGAATAAAAACTGATTGAGATACGGTTGTTTGAATTTTTCAAAAAAAAATTTATTTTTGAAAATTTTGGTTCAATTTTCAAAGTCTCGTAACTTTGCTCATTTTCACTCAATTTTTGATATTTTTGGCTTAAAATGATCCTAATCAATTGTTCTTATTTGTAAATAAAATTAAAACAACCAGAGTCTGAAATGTCGTTTTCTCATATTTTCAAAGTGTAAGACTTTGGATTTCATTAAAAACTCTCGAAATTTCCAGTTTTGAAAACTTGAAATTTTTCAAGCTTTGTCATGTTTGTATTCATTTTGAAGCGCATTTTATGACAAACAGAATGATACTAAATTCATAAGATTTGAAACAAAACTGTCAGAGATACGGTAGTTTTAATTTTTCAAAAAAAAAAAACTTTTTTTTCGGAAATTTGGATTTTGGGTTTCACTTTTCAAAATTTCGTAACTTTGCTCATTTTCACTCAATTTCCATAACTTTTAGCTCAAAATGTTCCGAACGTATTGCTCTTTTTTGCAATGTACACATAGCATTTTCAAATTCAAACGAAAACTCGCTGAGATACGGTAGTTTGTTTTTTGGTAAAAAATTCTTAAATTTTGGTTCTAATCTTCAAAACCTCCTAACTTTGCTCGTTTTCACTCAATTCTTGGAATTTTTAGCTAAAAATGCTTCAAAATGTTAGCTCTTTTTTGTGAATATAATAAAAACAACCAAAACCTCAAATTTCACATTTTCCTTTCTTCCAAGTGTAAAGCTTTGAAATTTTTAAGAATTTTCGAATTTTTGATTTTTTCAAACTTTGAAATTTTGAAATTGAATCAAAGTTATACTCATTTTAAAGCGCATTTTATGACAAACAGAATGATACTAAATTCATAATATTTGAAGCAAAACTGAACGAGATACGGCAGTTTTAATTTTTCAACAAAGACATTTTTTTTTCGGAATTTCAAAATTTTGGGTTCCAACCTTCAAAACCTCCTAGCTCTGCTAATTTTTACTCATTTTCCAGGATTTTTGGCTCAAAATGCTCCTAATCTCTCGTTTTTTCTAATCAAAATAAAATCTTTACATTTCTTTTATTCATCACTTCCAATTGTGCCACTTTCGTTCCCTTTGGCGAGTTCTCCGGAATCACTGTTCTCAAAGAGCACTGTGTGAATCGCGTAGCTCCAAATTCCACTTCTCTAGGCTCGAATTTCTCAATTTCTTCTGAATTTTCAGTCTCAATCGCGTTCATTTCCCGATTTTTGGCTCCAAACGCAACGAAATCCAATTCCACATCATCTTCTTTGTCTTGTTTCGTTGAGATTGCATTTTTCAACGCCTTCTTAAGTTCAGAAATCAATTCTACTGGGGTTTTTGTCACTTCTGAATCCACAATGTCTTCGGAATATGTTGTAGTAGGGGTTACGGTACTTTCGGTTGCTGTAGTAGTCTCTACGGTAGTTGTAGTCTCGGCTACCTTAGTTGTCGTTGAGAGTATCGTAGTTGTCGTAGATGGTAAGGTAGTGGTGGTGGGTATGGTAGTTGTTGTGGGTACTGTAGTTGGCTTTTGGGTTACTGTAGTTTTCTGGGTTACTGTAGCGATTCCAGATGCAGATTTCTCTACCAAATTGATGAATGTGGTTGATTTTCTTGGATTTTCTTTAGCGTTATCCTGAAAAAAAATTGTTTTCAAAACTTTTTTGGTCCACTCACCGAAACTATCAATCTGAGAGTCATCGGAAGATCATAGAGTCCTGTGACCCTTAACTGGACCCGTTTTGGTATCTGCTCGTCCGCCCAACCAGCGCTTCCCGAAATGAGATCCTTGGATTTCGGTCGGACCGCCTCTTCGACCAAATCGATGCCTTTGTGGGAGTCCTAAAAATTCGAATTTTACATATAATGAAAAAGCGGAAAATTTCACACATTTGATACTAAAATATCAAAATTCGGTTAAAAACCAACTAAGATAGGACACTATAGGGTGGAACAAACATTTTTTGAAAATTCGAAAAATTCAATTTTCAATTGTTTTTGGCCTAAGACCTACTCAGATTTGTATTTTGTAACGATTTTCGAACTCACCGAAGTTTCGGCTTTAAAACGAGTATAAACATGACCTACTTTCCTTGATTTTCAAAATCCGGACCCCATTGCGCCTTTAAAGTCAAATTTTCAAGTTTAAAGAAACGTAGGCATGTTTATACTCATTTTGAAGCTCGTAATCTGGTCATTTTAAATATATTAAAGTTTCAAAAATTGCATTAAAACTGACAGTGTTAGGGAAGCTTGAATATTTCAACTAAAGTTGTTAAAAACTTTCAAATAGGCATAACTCGCTAAGTTTTTCTTCAATTTGATTGAAAGTTAGATTTTTGTGCCTAACTTGCTCAGAGCTTTAAAATGAGTATATTCATGACCTACTTTTCTTGATTTTCAAAATCCGGACCCCCATTGCGCCTTCAAATGTTTATACTCATTTTGAAGCTAATGACAAAACAAACCCAAAGATATCATTATCGCTCACCTCCAACCAAAACTTGAGCTGATAATTCTCTTCTGGATCCCAATCAATTGCAGCAACCGGCGTATCAATCACAGTCCAAATCGGCAGATTCTTCTCGATTGGAACAACATAAGGTTCCTGATAGAATTGTGGAGCAAATCGATTGGTTGGATCGATATGAACAGTGAATAATGGATAGGCATACCCATTACATACAACTGTTACAAATAGATTTGCTTCTTTTAAAGTCGATGGATAGACTGGAAGTGAGAGAGACGCAGACAAACGGACCAAATATGATCCTGGAGAGAGATCGGAACGGTCGATGACCATGTGGTCGGACCAGTCGGTCTGAAAATGGGGTTGTTAAAAAAGCAAAAAGGGATTGGAGGGAGTGGGGGGGGGGGTGAACTTGGGAGGTGTGGCGTCAAAACCAAGCGCGCTAGCCACTAGGCCACGGCGGTGAATGGAGTGGAGAGGGGTGGAGGGCAGTGAGGAGGGTGGGAGAAAAAGAAGGGCGCGGGAGCCCGGGAGGCCCGAGGCACGAGGGGAGAGAGGGATTTTGAGATTTCGTAAAAATTTTGAAAATTCAAGATCCCTTAGCGCCCAAAAAAATGTTAAAACTATGAAATTTCTTTAGAGCGCATCTAGCTATTTTCAAATTCTCACCTCCTTAAACGCATCAGATCTCACATTAGCAATCTGCATCTCGGCATCGGGTGGGCTCACGGCTCCACGAAAAATGATATCTCCAATTGGCAAACTCGATGGAACATGAGCATAAAAACCATTGGTACTAGTGAATGTGCATTGTGGTTTTGGATTTGGAGACTCTGAAAATTTACGAATTTTAAAATAAAATCAATTTTTGCACATTTTTTTTCTCTAAAATTTCTGAAATTTTCTTATACCTGTCACCCCTGGATTTCCACTAGGCGCTCACCAGGCGCCCTCCACCCTCACTCACATCTACGCCCTCACTTCCCTCTTCCTAATACGCGCGCGTGGCCAACTGGCTAAAGCCCCTGCTTTTAAAGCTTGAGGTCGTGGGTTCGACTCCGCTAGGCGTCCAAACCTTTTTTAGACTCTTTTTAAAGAGTTTCTTACCAGCTAGAGTAGTCTGAATAGTCGCCAGAAGAGTTGCGAACAGGAGGATGAATATCCCCACTCGTCCCATACTGTAAAAAGTGTTACTTTTTGAAAAAGTCAGTTTCAAAACTGTAAGTAATAGTAGTAAGGTAATATGTGTGTTTTCTCAGTTTTCACTGAAGAATCAGCGTTAATTGGTTTGCGGAAAATGTCGGAAAAAAGAGAAAAGGGAGGATGGTCGACGGCTAATGGGAGACATGGATATAGGCAACATGAAGAAGTAGAATAAGTAAAAGTGTTTTGACATGAAAACGGAGAAGGTTAATGGAACCGACAGAAGGAAAGAAAAAGAAATGGATGATGCTAATGTGTAGGGTGGACATTAACAGCTTTCGGTCCCATCAATTCGATTTTTAAAGTATGAAACTCAAAAGTTTGGTTTTTAAAAGTTTAAAGACGCATAACATGACCCAAATCTTGATTATTAGAATTTTCATTATATACACCTTGTAGCTTTTAAAATTCCCTACAAAACCTTTTTTAGTTAATTCAGATGTTCCAACTTTAAGCCAAGTTATGCGCCTTTGAATTTGACTACCGTATTTCCTCCCTCTTCCTTCCTATAGCACCTTTTTGAGCTCAATTATTTTGGATCCTATTAAAGATATCAGAAATTGTCAATTAACAAAATGTTACTGATATTATGATAAACATTTTATCAGTTGACGAAATTTTGATATCTCTTATAGGAACCGAGATAATTGAGCTCAAAGTTTTACTGTAGGAGTGGCGTGGAGTACGGTCCGTTATGTTTAAAGGCGCATAACTTGACTTAAGGTCAGAACATCAAAGCAATATATAACAAATTTTAAAGAAAATTCTAAGGGCTAAAAATTACAAATTACCAACTATCATCCAAATTTTGGGTTTAGCTAACGAAAATTGACATTTTAGGTTTTAGATTTTTTAGGCTTATTTATGAGGGTTTGAATTTTTCAACTTTATCAATAATTGAGGCTCTTAAATGGTCGAAAGTGAAAAAATGGGTCTATATATAGTCTAAAGAATCATGTTTCAAACTTTCAAGCTGCCTACTTCATGGTTACCGCAAACACTCGAATAGAATGACCTCCTAACTTTGAGCCAATTTTTCTCACTTCATGTAAAATATATTAAAAATCTGTCAACCAGCAAAATGGTACTGATATTATGATAAGCATTTTATAAGTTAACCACTTTTTGATATCTTTTACAGGAACCGAGATAAATTGGCTCAAAGTTGACAAGTCGGCGCAAGCCGTCAGAGCGGCTGCCGACCCTTAAAGGTGGGGGGACATGAAAAAAATAATGTTCTCGAAATTCCGTTCAAAGATGCCCCTCGAGGAGTTGAACTTGTGAGGGCGATGATTGAGGGTGCGGCGCCGCTACCGACTGAGCCACGCGGGCAAAGAGAAAGCGCACGCCCGATTGCATACATAAAGACGAGGACGACAGCTGTACGCAGAGTGACATTAAGCGTTGTACACCGTTACGGTAGAATGCATACTCTAGCTACAAAAAAACTACGAAAAATCTCCTGTCCCCCCACCTTTAAACCTATTTTATCTCGGTTACTGTATGAGGTATCAAAAAGTTATCAACTGATAAAATTTTGTTGATATTATGATAAACATTTTGTTAGTAGACTACATTTTTCATACCTTTCACAGGAAATATGAGATATTTGGTCTCGAAGAGATTAATTTCAGACGTCAGGCTTATTTTTGGGTGGAACTCTATCAGCATGTTTACATCCAATTTGAAGCATCCAAAAAGAGAAGCAAAAGGTGTAAAGTTGAAAATTTGAAAGACTAGAATCCAAATTCCACTCCAACCTAGCGAGAAATTAAGGAAATAAGGATAGGCTTTTCGTCCTCTTCATTTCAATTTCTACGGATAAAAGGAGAAAACGGAAAGGGAAGGAAAGGGAAGGAAAGAGAGACACATATAAAACAATGTGTGTTACTAATTTAGGGCATCACATCCACAGTTTTTCGTGAGGGAGTGGGGGTATCCTTTCACTGTGTCATCCATCTTCAGGTTCTCTCAGAAAAATACTTATCGCACGGGGGCTAAATGACCGCAAAGATTGGAAAAAGGGGATAACGAAGACAGTGGAAAAGAGGAAAGGACATGAAAAATTGAAACATTTCATTTTTCGGAGGATTTTCCGAAAATGAGAAAAATGGAATAAAACGGTTCATGGCCTAGACCTAGCCAAAAAATGCGAATTTTCCGGTCAATCTCATTTTTACTTACCGTAAAACCTCTAATAGAACGACACCCGGATCGTCCACTTTGAGCCTATATATCTCATTTTCTGTGAAAGATATCAAAAAGTGGCTAACTAGTAAAATG